GATCGATGGGAGAGGCAGGACAGATAACAGGAAGGACTTCTTTGCACAGCACAGAGCTAAACTGTGGCACTCACTGCTGCAGAAAGCAATGCTGGTCATCAATTTGGGTGGCCTGAAGGACAAGGCTATCATGGCTTCCAGTCCCGAAGGTTTTACACTACCTCCCAGTCCGAGTCAGGATGCAGCTGTGCAGCACCTCAAGCGGAGATGCAAGAGCGGGAGGGCTCTGGGTTCCGTGGGCAGCTGCGCAGCCATCGTCTGAGCAGAAGGCTCTTCTGCAGTTCTTAGGCGATGCCAAAGCCTGGAGTGGAGATGAGGCCAGCCTGTGGCCCAGCTGGGAGAAGAATATTTCTGTGTTCCACCTGCCTGCCTAAAGAGGATACCCCATAAGAACACAAGTCCAGGGTGCAAAAAGGCTACATTGCTGAAATAGAGAGAGGAGTGGGTTTTTTATATGGAAAGACTGTGACTTCTCCTGCATACATATGGATTTCCTGGCCCAGAAGCCTTTCATGGTAAACTTGTCTTTTGCACCAAGCAGTGGCTGATGGATTGTGGGGTTCTGACAAAAAAACGGACATTTGCTCAGGGAGCCGTGACCAACAGCTGCTGTGCGGAGTTTCTGGCAAGGGCCTCTCAGTCTGCACCTCAAGATCCTTTAGACTGGAGCTACTGGGGAGGGTGGCTGAACCTATGCAAAGAATGTGCGGCAGCCCTTGGGCATTCCCTCCCAAAGGCCCTCGTACCTCCTGCGGAGCAGCAGCGGGAAGTGCATGCGCAATTTGGCCGTCTCTTAAAATGGCACAGGATTCCAGCATGTGATGCTGAAGGTGACGCTGCCAAACCGCAGCACAATTGAAATGGGCCGGCAGCAGGCGAGGGGGCCGCAGCTCCCACCCCGCCCTGTTCTGTCCTGATGGTGATTGTCCAACTTGTGAGGCTTTGCATGGTGACAAATTTATGACACTTCTCTGTAGTACAGAAATGTTTCCAGCAATGTCGCACAAGAGCAGAAAGAATTCATCCTCTGCTATTGCGTCAGAGTTCTCTTTTTTCCCCTTGACCTCCTGCACACTCCGAGCAGCGGTGTGTTTCACTGTATAACAGTCATTAATATTGGCGCTGCCTCTCAAGTTAACTCCCTGTTTGGTCAGCTCTCATTAGGACGGACATGTAGAGCTGGAAAGACAGAACTGGAAGGCCTTGTGGCTTCCTCGGCGTGGCAGGATCCTAATTGTCTGGTGTGTGGGAGGCGCCACGTTAGGCAAGGGGGGAATACATTGGGTTGCACACTGAGCTGGAAAGTTCCTGCTCCAGGTCGTATGTCTGTGGAGCCAGCTCCCAGTTTGAGGGGGAACAGGGCCAAGGGGCTCCGCGTTCTTCATTAACCATGGGTCCTCCTGGCAGACCTGCCCGTCTGCAGAGGCAGAACTGAGTGGCCAGGTCTAGCCACGCTGCTGGTCTGCCAGAATGCCTCAGACCTGGTGGGAGCCAAAGGATGTCAGGTGCTAGTCAGGCCCTGTATATCTGCCATAAATACTTGGGTAGGTGCTTAGCCCCAGACAGCCATCACTGATGTGGTGATGGATAATAGCACTGGCCACTCAGACAAACGGCCGTGGGCCCTTCGAATGAGAGAGCCAGTGCGGTGTAGTGGCTGAAAGAGCAGGACTGGGACTCGGGCGATCTGGGTTCTAGTCCCTGCTCAGCTGCAGGGTCAACTGAGTGACTATGGGCCGATCACAGACTCTCAGCCCAACCTACCACACAGGGTTGTTGCTGTGGGGATAAGATTGAGAACAGGAAGAAGTGTAAGCCGCTTTGAATTCTTTAAGAAAAAAGCAGGCTGTAAATCAAGTAAATAAATAAATAAAGTTACTAGAAAGAGACTTATCTGGGTTGGGAATGGGTGGCGTGTGCATGCATGGGCTTCAGCCTCTCAGCTTGCTCCCTGGCCCTCGGGGCTGAGCTACCCGCTGCTGGGGGTGGAGGGCGGATTGTGCTCTTCTGAGGGTCTGTGACAGGTCTGCTACGAAAATCGCTCCCCTCCACCTCAGCTCGGGTGCTACAACATCAACAAACTGGCTAAGGGGTGCATCCGAGGCACCAGCTATTCCTGTGTTTAAGGGCTGAATTGAAGTCTCAGCAGGCTGAGGTGGACCAAGGCGGCCTACCAAGTGCCCTTCTGACTTTGGTCCACTGTGGGCTTACTGCATCCAGCACAGGGGAAGGCTGCCCAGTGCCCTCCCTGTGCTTTGGGCGACAGCTCCCAACAGTCCCAGCTGTCAAGGGGAGGTTGATTTGCAGGGCACCAAGTCCCCTGCCCCTCATCTAGCTGAAGACGTCTGCTGGCCGAGTCCTGGAGGAGATAAATGCCTCGATGTGAGGGGCTGCTGGTCTCCAGTGTGCCCAAAGAGGCAATTACAAGACTGCTCCAAGACCTCCAGGTTTACAGGTCCCATTGTAGTGACAAGAGAATTAAGTGGATGATTGCTTTGCGAGTCCGTGACATTTGGCTTAAACGGATTCTCTAGATCCATTTCCACAGGGTTTTCTGCCTCTGGAATAAATTGGGCTGCAGGCTAAGCTGGTCACCTGAAGAGGGGGAAGAACAAGGTGGGCCTCATCCTGCTAGTTTCCTGGACATCTTCGTGGCCTCCAGTCCCATCTGTCACGATGGGCTCTCCACTGCGGGGGTGTGGTGCTGGGATGGCTGTCTGACACCCTCCTGCAGGTGGCTCTGCCGTCCGAGGTGAGGCAGGTGGCGACTGGGGAGAGGGGCCTTCCCTATCAGGGACTCTCCTTAGCTCTACTGCCACGTCTTTGCAAAGGCAAATGCCTTTATACCTGCCAGGGCTTTTAACATCTGACGGATTCGTATTGGGTCTTTTCCCTTTCTCTGCCATGCCTACTGTGTTATTTATGGTCATGCTACTTTTCGTTTTGAAAACTGCCCTAATAATGATCTATTGAAGGGTGCCATGAAAAACAGAATAGCATTCATTCATGTATGTGCAAGAAAAGTAACAGGATGCACTTCAGCATCCCATGGAAGTGGAGGCTAAGGATACAATCCCATGCATGCTTAGATAGAAAAATGTTCCTCACACAATTCCCCAAAAGTGCAATTCCCAGCACGACTGGAGGACTTCCCAGCATGCAGGACTTTTTAGCATCAAAGAATCATAGAACAGCAGAGCTGGAAGGGGCCAGAGGGCCGTCAGGTCCAAACCCCTGCTCAGTGCAGGGCTCCAAATTAAACCATCCCTCCTGGTTGCATCTTGAATGTCTCTCATGTTGGCAAGCTCACAACCTCCCTAGGTCATTGGCTCCATTGTTGCACTGCTCTAACAATCAGGAATTTTTTCCTGATATCCAGCCAGAACCTGGCTTCATATAACTTGAGCCCATTATTCTGTGTCCTGAACTCTGGGATGACTGAGAAGAGTTCCTGCCCTTCCTCCTTGTGACAGCCTTTCAAGTACTCATAGAGTGCTATCATCTCTCCCTTCAGTCTTCTCTTCTCGAGGCTAAACGTGCTCAGTTTTTGCAATCTCTTCTGACGGCTTTGTTTCCAGTCCCCAGATCATCCTCCTTGCCCTCCTCTGACCCCTTTCCAGCTTGTCTGCATGTGGTGCCCAGAACTGGACACAGTACTCCAGATGGCGCCTAGCCAGTGCCGAGTAGAGGGGAACTAGCACTTCACGATCTCAACAAGGATGGGATGGCACCCTGAATCTGCTTCTTGCCCCTGGTGGGAGCAGCCATTACAAATCTTCCTGCCCCAATCTGCATAGCTCTGCTGTGCCTGATTTCATTTCCTTGGTCACACTGAGGTGTGACCAAAGGTTGGAACCTACATGATTTTGCTAATTTTAAAACCATTGGAATTTACATTGCTGTCAAGACTTGCTGAGATGTAGTCATTAATTTCTGGAGGGAGATGTTCCAGAATACATCTGGGAACTGTAAGAAAAGTTTCCAGGTCAAGTTATATTCTGAATATAATTCATTGAGTCATTGAGCAGCATACTCGGAATTATTTACTCTGCATTTTCACATGTTCTGAGAAGGAACTTTGTATTACCAAAAAATAAAAAATGAGGCACAGCATGTTTTAGTCAAGCATCTGGCTGTTATTATGGCCAGATCGCAGAGCAGAGAGCAAGCAGGGCTGTGCCATTAGTGCTGCTGAGACACCAGCTGCCGTCAGTCCTCTTTCATCTGCCACCTAGTGCAGCCACTGCATCGGGCTGCAGAAACTAACTCCATTCCAGCTGCTTGTAATAAAAATGGTGATAAGAGGAACTGCTGCCTGAACTTGTTTTTCCCCTCTTCCCTCCCCACCTGTTTTTCTTCTGTGACATGTCCTTTGTTTTGGCAGCCAATAAAATATTAAAACATTATTTATTTATTTTTCAAGAGGTTTTAGCAGAAGTGGTTCTGCTCGTCCACTTCCATAACCCTATCCATATTGCAGTTTCTTTGAATGAAGCCCGTATACTGGGGTGTTTTTTAAGCAAACCCCACTATATGGGGTTTGTGAATCATTCTTAAGCTATAGGCAAGAGCTTGTAAGTTATCCAGCATGAGCTATGGATCTTAAACCCAGCCAAGTGATTGTACATGGTGTTGAGGCTTAACCACCTTCTGTCTTTACCTGAACCAACTTTCCCAGCTTCGCTTCCCCCACCATATGCAATCTCCACACCTCTTTTTAAACAAAGTTATGGATCAAGTAGCCCAAGTTCCCAAGCACTGGGAAAAAGGAAGCCACCTCTGCTGAGGAGCAAAACTGTTGTAAAAAGCTGTAATCCAAGGCATCTCGCCACAGCCAATCAGAGGACACCTCACCTTGCACACACCCACCTGGCCGGCAGGTGCATAAAAAGAAAAGCAGTGGTTCCTGCACTCCAGAGCAGCAGCAGACTGCTGCAGGGTTGAGCCTCTCCCAATTTCCTGGTGAGCTTCTGGGATTCATCTTTTTGGGATCACCAATCATGCTTTTCTGGCACAGCCAACCTGATCATTACTGGCCCAGCCCGGGAGAACTGTATCCTTGCTCTGGCAGCAGTCTGATAAGGTGAGAGGCCCCCTTTTCTCTGCCCTGCCTTTCCCCCCATGCTGGGTGGGGCGGAGGGTGCAGGGAGATGATCATACAGAAGCCTAGAAATGTTGGGAAGGGATATGCAGACCAGCTGATAGGTCCCAGAACACAAAAACCAGCCTGGGTGGATCAGGCCGAGGTTCCTAGTCCCGCGCTCCAGTTCTAGCCAGCAGCCTGGTGGATGCATCTAACAGCCTGTGAGGTTTAGCACTGATGCTTGTCTCCACCCCTGCTTTATGCGGTATTTAGAGGTACACTGCTTTGACACATGGGAGTTCCTTTTAAGCTATTTCTCCATAAATTTGTCTAATATAAATCCAACCAAGCTTGTGGCATCACTCTGTCTTGCAGCAGTGCATTTCATATATAAATTAAGGAAATTAACCTTTGGCACTGACCAGTGGTCAGATCCTGCTGGCAAGCCCAAGATTTTAGATGAATCTGCCCTTGCTTTCCCAGTTCCACCCATTGTTTCTCAGGGACATTGAATTCTGCTGTATAAAATTTCTATAGGACTCTTCAGGCTGTTGTTCAAAGGTCTTCCTCTCCTCTCAGGTTGCCAGGTGCAAAAGAGGGCAAGGCCGCTGCAGTTTTAGTAGTTGCGAAGACAATGGGATTTTGGCACTCCATCCTCTTTTGCATCTGCCCACCTCGCCCTGGTTTTGTCCAGGCTCACACTCCTGTCTCTGCCTTCTGCCTTGCTATGCTATGTTGGAATCATGGAACCGTGCAAGCCTGAAGTGAGGCAATAGAGTTGGTCAAAGTTCAGTTTTGCAGCCACAAAACTGTGTGAAACGGTCCCATTTTGGGAGGAAGCCACATCCAGGAGGTTAAGTACATTAGGCAAAAAGACAGTGACTTGCCCAAGACCTTTCAGTGAAATAGAGAAAGCCTTTCCAGAAGGTATGCAGACCTTTTTATAATGTATGGTGGCAGAAGCAGGTTTGTGCATAGCTTAGTCTGTGGTTAAAATGCCACTGGGAGAAGAGGCAAGGAAGTTTTCATAAACATGAAGAAAGCTGGATCTCGCTCTACCGCAAAGCAATTAATGTGTCCAAGAAATGTATTCACAGGTGGACCAATTATACATGTTCTAATCTAGTAATGTCTGCATGTTTATTTTTAAGGGGACTGTGAATAATGTCAGTGTGGAATGGAAAGTGAAAAGCAAGTATTTTAATGTGAAACACGTGCTGTAACTGGGACAGATTAAACATTCAGATTATGGACATGAGCAAACAAAAGGAAAAGTCTGCCTTAGATTTTACTGCATTCCTACAAGAGAAAGCACGTGTATATAGAAATTAGCCGGGTGCCTGCCCAGAGCCAGCCTGTCCTGTCTGAATTGGCTTCATATCCCATCATGCCTTCCCTGGGATTACAGTGTCTGGCGAGGGTTAGAAAGAGGGCTAGGAAGAGCACTGTGGCAAGGGGAAACCCATCTGGCCCCTCTCCTTCCCCCTCCTGCCTATCCTATACTGAGCCTGTGGCAGGGAGGGTGTGATCTTTCCATCTCAGGACAGTACTTAGAAAATGTTAGCCACTCGATAAGTTTGGAATCAAAATAACAACATTTAGACCTCATGTGGGCATGCAACAAATAATCACAAGTACATGCACTCAGTGACTACATTATTTTCTAGCTGTGTGCTATTCTTTTCATGTGAATGCTACCCGTACAGGAAATTTCTAGCCTGTAACTTCTAACTGCTAACTTGTGAATGAGTCCAGTCTGCCTGAGTCTGCCATGCCTGTGCCTTCTCTTGCCACCTGCAGGGAGCCCCTGGCATTGCCATTCCTGAAACAGGAGGAGCCAAACAGCATTTCAACCTCTGCTGAACAGCACTGTCCATCGTTCCAGTATGCGTTGTGTGCTGTTACCTCTCCAGCAGTCAAACAGCATGAGGAGACCCTTACCTATCTTAACCAAGGTAAGGTCTGGGCCAGCGGCCGGGAAGGGGAGCGGAAGACCAAGGAGAGCGATCAAACAATCCTCAGTTGCTGCCCTCTGGTGGTGAGCACAGGGAATGCTCACTAGACCACAATTCCGATGCTTGACCTCTCCGGTGGCTAAGATGGAAAAGACAGAAAGTCCCTTTTTACTGAGACTAGCTTTTACCATCACGACAGCTCAAGGAGTGCAGTGGAGCAAGGGTTGGGTGTATATGGATAAAGACAGTGGGCTTTACTTGTGTCAAGGTCCTAAAGTACCAAAGGCCACTTTGATAATGCAAAGGCAGACATTCATCACATTTTTCAGGTTTTCGGTGTTGCAATTTAAATTTCAGAATCTGAGCCAGATTTGACTCCTGGAGTTAACACTGGCCAGTTGCCCATTCTGATGTTTTCTCCTATTCAACAGGGATATTAACAGATTGGCTGAATGAATTAACCAAGTTAACACAAAATGAATGATTGAAAAACTACAAACTGCTCATCTGTCATATCTTGATGGTTTTCACTAAATATCAAGTCATTCAGGAAGTACTTAAATGGGCAGCATCAACGTTTGCTGAGAAAAAAATAGAAGAGAATTTTGGGAGCAAATTAATGTCCACTTGATAATATGTTAAACTACTGGGATACTGAATATCAATGCTATAGCTATTTTAATTTAGGGAAATTAAAATAAACAGTTGGTCCCCTCTATTAACCTAATTCATTTTGGCTTTCCTTAATTTTTTGAAAATAAAGAAGGTGGAACATAATGACTGTGCACACTGACTTGGGAATGACCCATAGAACTCTGGAAATCAGTTTGGAGAAAATGTTCATAGGACCCTGCAGACACCTGCTATTTATGTGATTAATAAATCAGTGTATAGACATTCCCTCCTTTCCTTTCACCAGCCCTTTCAGGCAGTCTTAGAGTACAATCCTGCACGTGTTTGCTTGGAAGTAAGTCCATAGGGTTTACCCCCAGGCGAGTAGGTATAGACTTGCAGCCTTAAAGGATGCAGGTGAAGCCATTTAAGGAATTCAGAAGAACCAAGTGCTCCTTTTTAGGTTTATTTATACCCACTCGATCTGGCACTGTCGCCACCATCTGATGAATAATTCATAATTCAGACAATATTCACAAAAGGCTTATGTGAGAATAAATTGGTTAGCTTTCAAGGTGGCGCAAGGCTCCCTGTCGTTTTTGCTGCAACAGACTTCCCCTTTGGAAAATATTACTCACCACTGCTAGTCGGGAACGGGTCATACTCCTGCTGACTGGATCTGGTATTCATTAATACTCTGCGTAATGCTGTGACACACTCACAATTATCTCCTGCATTGCTCTGACGTTTTGGCCTCCCTTTGTTTTCCACAGGAACTTGTACACACACTCTGAAAAAAAAAAAAGTGAGCTTTGGTCCATGAGAACTCCTGCCCCAGTAAATTTGACTGTCTTTAAATTAACAAAAGATGCCCCATTTTTTCTGTGATATATGGCTATCCCTCCAGGGGAAAGGATACACTTATCTTTCACTAGACTTTAGTGTTGTTATTGATTTACACATGTGCCTCTTTACTATATTTTTATCCACCCACCATCCCAAAAGGACAGGCCGATTCCCCTGTAAAATCGATCGCGTATCTAATGCTGAGACACTAGAAAGTCTCTAAGCAGCAGGGGGAACCTTTTTTCTCTATAACAGAACTGCATTTCCTGGGGAGTCATTTGCCCAAGGCTCCGTGCTGGCTATAAAGTCCAATGCTGGTGCTAGGCAGGGCCATTTTTCTCCATCTCCCTGCCACTCCCTCTCCCCCCTCCCCACTCCCTGCTCCCTTCCTCCCCACAAACTGGGCTGCTGAGGGTGGAGGGATCATATCAGTCTTGACCGAAGCCTGAACCGAAGTTTGCTGGTGGTCCGAGGGCTGTGGGTTGCCCACCCTGGCTCTAAGATGACCCCAAGAAGAAAATACCCACCTCTGCGGTAGTGGGGTATTGCAGGTGGTATTACGCCTGTAGATGTTTCCACCTCTGTGAGACTAAAAATAGTGCAACGTTTCTGCGTAAAGATGGTGTGTGTGTTTCTTGTTAACATATGAGTGCATCTCTGCATTCCTCATTATTTTCCATTCCTGCCATGAGGAGAAGAAATGTCATATTTATACAGCAAGTGCTACCTGCAACAAGGGGAGAAAACCCCCACAACAGATTTTGAAAAATGAGAGAACCAGTAACCAGGTTCACATGACACAATAAGCCATGGTGTGTGGGGAGGCTTAGTGTGTTGTCGGAACCCCCCTCCTGATTCCCAGGGGTGGCTTATGAACCGGCTTATGAACCGGCCTCGCCATGGCTCACGGGAGAGCTGCACAGACCCCTTGCGGCTGAGCATTTCGCCTGTGCTCAGGCAGCCGCCTAAGCCCCGCTCAAGCCAAAAGCCCAGGGAGCCCTTTGGCAAAAAAGCACTCTCTGATGCCGTGGTCGGGCTGCTCAGGCTCCTGCCGAGCCTGTGGGGGACAGCGAGACTAGCAGGAGCCGGAGAGAGCCCAGCCCGGGGACAGCCAGCTCTCCTGGCGCCACCCACTCAAACCCCCCTCAGGGTCTGCTGGTAGAGGAACGAGCTGCCTGGTCACGTGCCCTTGGGAGAAAGTGAGGCCAGGCAGCTCTTGCAGCTTGCCTTGCATGGGGTGTCCTGCCAAGCAGTGCTCCTCCCTCCCCACAGGAGATCTGACCCCAGGCACTCCTGTGCCTAGTCCCCCCACCCACCACCACTCTGGGTTGGACGTTCAGTCACATTCCCACTGCATTGCGCTGCAGTGGCAGGGCCCTTGCGGCTTCAGCCTCCTCCTCCTCCTGGCCTCCTGTGAGTCAGAATGAAACCTGGTGCCTCCGGAGGCGCCTCTGCCCACATGGGTTCAGTGGGTCCATCCAGAGCTCGTCCTCATTGCACTACTCTACTAGAGTGGATACAAGAACGGGAAGCACACCACTTCACGCGTGCGTGCGCATGCGTGCGCGCGCACACACACACACACCAAGGCTTAAGTGAAGGTTTGGACACGATGCCTTGGACTTGGGGCATCTTTATCTCACCAGCCTCTCATTCCTGGCAGACTCTACTCTTTTCCAGGGCAGTCATATGAAATCCGGATGCTGTGCAATCCCAAGATGGGAGAGTTTGCCGAGGGGCGCAAGCTACTGAAGGTGAGGGATGGGAAGGGAGAATGGGCTGGGACACCCCTGCTGCCTTCTCTGATGCTGCATCGTCAGCCTATGGAACTTGTTGCTGCAGGGCATTGCAAAAGTATATTTAACGGCTCTACTGATTAGACGGATAATAGCTGCAGGCACCATCTCGGCCCAGAGAACGTAACACTTTGACTCGCAGATGTTGGATATTAGCAGAACGAGGACATTCCCAGCAGGCTTTGCTCATAGATTCTCCCTGAATGGCAATCACTGGACTGAAAGCTAATTGGGGTGAAAAACTGATTTGGTCCAACTAATTCAGTTCTGCACTGAGAATAACAATAGACTTAGTGTTTATGTCCTGCTGTCCATGTTCAAACGCTTTCCTACATTGTCATGGTAATGCTTGAAGACCCCTGCAGCAAAGCTCCCTAAGATTATCCTGGTGCTGGCAGGTGTGTCATGGTAACAGTGGTTACAGATTTTTGTGTTGATCCTGAATTGTCACGAAGGTTGTGCCCTATCATGTTAGCCGCACGATTTGGACAGGATGTTTCCCATCTGGCAGTTCCCACATTAGCACACCACTCCATTGGACCCTGCAGCCAGGAAGGATCTTCTCCTGCCAGCACTTCACATGTGTCCATACTTGGCCAGGAGGTCCCTGATGGAAATTGTTCTTTTTAAAAAATGGCTCATTATTTCTTTAGGGAACAGGCCTGAAGCAGTGGCAGGATGGTGCAGGGATGGGCAGGGAGAGTTCGAGCACATACTTGTGTCACTCATTTGCTAGCATCAACCTATTTTGACCAGGTTCACACAACATTTCAACCTATTGTAGGTCACAAGCCATGGAGGGTTGTCATGCCATGCAAACCCAGACTGTTTCGCAAAGGGTGGATTGTTCCAGGCCAAAAGCCACCCTAACAAGCCATGGCTTGTTGTAGGGGTTGTTGTACCCATGTCAGGCTGTTGCATTGCCTGGATCAAGGCAACCGATCCCATTGCGGGTGCTGGAATCCAGCAAGTGAGCTATTTGGCAAGAGAGGCAAATGCTTCCTGCTGTTCTTGCCAGGTCTGCTTGGGCCTCCACCAACGCCCACTACTCCACAAAAGCTCAAGGGGCACTTGGTGGTGACTGAGGCTGTCTCCATGCCCCACCTGGCTACAATCACAAACCCTTTTTGCATTCACCACAACATTTTTGTGCTTTTATCATTTTTTCCCCTTCTTCTGAGATCCTGAAAGTGATTTCTGATTTGGCAGCTAGTGACTGTCCCTTGAAAGACAGTCCGGAGTGGCTTTCACTGGTTCATCACCAAAGTGAGCTTAATTATCTGTTGAGCGTTCCTTCTACATAACTTCTTTGCAACATGGGTTTTCATGCTACACAAATATGGTCTGTGTTTCTAACCTGAATGTCTTCAGCATCCCTAGTTATAAGGGCTTTTGGACCTTGGAAGTTTAGGAGAAAAGAGTGCAAGCTTTGCATTTGATGTAGCAAAGATGAGCGTGAATCGCACTGGGTGAGTGGGCCCAGGGAAATTTCAGGTGTCTTTTTCTCCCTTGCAGAGTGTGGTCAGGGTGGTGTTTCATGACCGAAGGCTGCAGTATACAGAACACCAACAACTGGAAGGATGGAGGTGGAGCCGGCCAGGTGACCGCATCCTGGATATTGGTCAGTGATTATTTTTTAAAGGAAGGGAGATTCATCAAGATCTATCAACACTGGGGACTTAAGAGTATTTTCCAGCATGCTCAGTTTAAAACTTTTAAACCTTGTTTCTTCTCAAACCTCCAATCTTCAGCAACATCTGTAAGTGGGAATGTGTATGGGCTCTTGGGAATGTGGTGGACAGCTTGATGAAATGGTTAACTCACGGAACAGCTGCTGTGAAAAAGGCAAGCTCTTTGTTAGGCATAATTGGAAAAGATCTGAAATAAAACTGCCAGGATTGTACTCCCCTTATAAAAATCTTTTTGTGCAACTGCACTTAGAATATTGTGTATAGTTCTAGTCACCATGCCCCAAAATAGGGTGTTACTGAGTTGGAAAAAGTGTAAAGAAGGGCAAGTAAAATTGTGCAACTCTCTCATCAGGATCTGCTACAACAGCTGGGGCCGTTTAGCTTAGAAAAAAGAGCAAACATGATAGAGGTATTCAGAATTAAACATGGCATGGAGAAAGTGAAGAGGAAGACATTTTTCTGCCTAGATAAACACTAGAAGCCAATGGGGTCCTCCTATGACGCTGATTGGTGGACGATTCTGGACAGGTAAAAAGAAGGGGTTCTTCACACCACACATAGTTGAACTATGGAATTCCCTGCCACAGGAAGCAGAGATGGCCAATTTGGACAGCTTTAAAAATGGACTGGACAAATTCATGGAGGAGGTAGCTAACAAAAGCTTTTATTGTTGACAATTGCTGGCTATGTGCTACCTCTCTTATCAGGAGTGGTATATCTGTGCACACCATATGCTGGGGAGCTTGGGCAGAGAGGCTCTTGTACGCATCCTCATTGAGGGAGCTTGTGAACGGCTGGTCAGCCACTGTGTGAAGAGTACTGGACTGGATGGACCATGACTTCTCTCGTGTTTCTTAAGAGCTTCATGCTTATTCACAAGGGAAATGCTTGTGGTTTTCCTATGTAGAGGGTCTGAGATATGTTTATACCTTGAAACACCACAACAGCCTCCATGACATAGCAAGCCTCAACCTCATCAATTATAGGCAGACTATAAATACATGTAGGGATGCAGGTTTAAACCGCTGTGCTGCTGGACTGGTTGACTGAAAGGTCACCAGTTCAAATCTGCACAACGGGGTGAGTTCCCGTTGCTCCGTCCCAGCTCCTGCCAACCTTGCAGTTCGAAAGCATGCAAATGCAAGTAGATAAAAAGGTACCCCTTTGGTGGGCAGGTAACAGCGTTCCGTGCACTTCTGTGTTTAGTCATGCCGGCCACATGGCCACGGAGACTGTCTGTGGACAAACACTGGCTCCCTCAGCTAGGAAACGGAGATGAGCACCGCCCCCTAGAGTCAGGCATGACTGGACGTAACAGCAAGGGGAAACCTTTACCTTTTATATACATACATGTAAATAAATAAATAAGCCTTGGTGGAATACAAGGCACCAGTCACCTGTTGCTATACAAGCATGGTTTCCCATTTTCCATCTCCTTTGCCTCCATATTTGTTTCCCATTCTGTACTCAATTGCCAGGGGCTTGCCTTTTATTCACTTATTTATTTATTCACTTATTTAATACTTGTAAGTATTTATTCACTTATGCAGGCTGGGGCACCTTACAAAGACAGCTTCATAGGGAATAGCCGTCAAATTTGTTTCCACAATTATCTTGGAAAAGAATAAACTGGGGGAACAACAGATGGGGAGGGACATGAGGAAAATGTAACTGTGTTTATGTACAACTTGGCTATACTTTGGAACTCCCATCATCCCTGAACACTGGCCATACTGGCTGGGATTGATGGGAATTGACATCCAACAATGTCTGGAGGGCTGCAGGTTCCACACCCCTGGACTAAAGGACAATAAAACGAAAATCTGCATGAAAATTTGGAGGAGGGGCTTAAATGGGCAAGAGAAAGAAAGGGAACAAAAGAGGGAAGGCGGCAGACTGCACATCATGTACAGGCAGTCCCTGTGTTATGAACATCCAAGGTATGAACAACCCATACTTACAAGCAAACTGCGGTAAAGCCTATTAATTAAAAAAAATTACTGTGGAAAATCATCATCACCATAAATAGCAAGGAAGTGAAAGGGGAGAGAGGGAGGGCCTCCAAAACATGCCTTCCTGCCCTGCCCACCCAGAGAGGGAAATCCTCCCAGCATCTCCCTGGTGCAAAGAGGAGGCACTGGAGGTGGGACTAGAGATATTCACACTTTTTCCACTTTGATGGGGGGTCCTGCACTCCTAACCCCTGTGAATGTGGAGGGCCTTCTATACATGATCCAACTTATATACAAATTTGACTTAAAGAATTTCTATTTTCTCAGGAATGGAGCTCATTCGTAACCCAGAGACTACCTGTACATGGCCAGAGGAGGCAGCTTCATACATCCTCCCCCGCTCCCCGATATGGATATCCTGTTCCCACTGAATCCTGACACTTTTCATCTTTTCCTACAGATATCCCCATGTCTGTAGGCATCCTTGAGCCTCACATCCACCCTACTTTGCTTAATACTGTGGAATTCCTGTGGGACCCCACTAAGCGAACGTCTGTTTTTGTTCAGGTAGGTATGCAAGGTGGGGCTACCTTATCATTACTATTTCTTCCATTTGAATCTTCCTCCTTTCCTAGCTTGCTTTCTGCTTTTTGTCCAAACAACTTTTTTTTTTTAATGAACCAAGTCTCCATCCCCTCACCTCAGGGTACCAAGAGGATCGTGCCAATATTCGTTCGCTGAAGGAGTCTAATCACAGTAGAAGTAGTAGCACAAGTGGGAGCTGCACGGAAATGTTGCAACACAATATGCACTGTGTCCAGGATCCATCCACCCCAGTTTAACATGCTCCTCAGTTGTTCAGCCTTCTATGGCCATTGACTATGGTCAGTCCCCATGGGGCTGTTGCCCCCTGCCCCCCCGCACGCACACACACACACACACCTCTTAAAATGTGTTGTATACCTTTGCAAGGCTCAACAGATCTTCCATGCCTCCCTCTCTTGCATGGATGCTACCATTCGGCTATATAAGCAATAACGCTCACTCTGGAAAGAGCAGCAAAGGCTGTTACATGTGCGATGTGGAATGAGCAAGGTTGGCTTGGGATGGTTCAGTGATAGCCCCAGGATCAGAACAAGAGTTCTCCTCTCCCTCTGGGGACCACTGGGCCCCCCTTTGAGAACTGAACGCTGGACTAGGTGGCTCTGGGACAGCACGGCTGTCCTCGTGAGCCTTGCACCCGCTGCTCCCAACTGAGACGGCTTGCCTCTTTCCCCGCAACAGGTCCATTGCATCAGCACGGAATTCACGCTACGTAAGAATGGAGGGGAGAAAGGTGTTCCCTTCCGCATCCAGGTGGACACCTTCAGGTCCAACGAGAAGGATGAACATGTGGAGCACTTGCACTCAGCCAGCTGCCTCATCAAAGTCTTCAAGGTAAGAAGACTTACCAGCGGTCAAGCCCAGCTCCCTGTCCAAAAGCAGGGCCCTCCAATGGGTCCACAAGAAGCCCAGGCCATGGCGTCTGCAAGTAGGACTGGGCAAGAGTGTGTGCTCTAGATGACTTAAGCTAGTGAGCCAAGCCACATGATACTGCAGAATAATGTAGCATGGTTGAAACGAAGAGGGTGTAAATCTGGTTAGTTTTTTGGAGGGCACTGTATGGAACAGCAGGATATGATTAAAAATAAACAGCAAACCCAACTGTCTCCCTGTGCATGCATAAACATGTGCACACTCGCTATGGTAAATTCTCCTGAGGTACCACTTCATTGGACATATGTTAACATTTGTGGAGCTCAGTCTTTAATGGAAAATGCTTGCTATTGGAAAGAAGCTGACAAAGAAAGCGATTGCTTGAGTGGTCTTTATCTGTCCCAAAATGGGCGGTGTGAACTGCAGGCTTCCTCCATGTGCAAGGAGGTCATCAAAAATATGACACCACAGCTAGAATGTTGGTATCACACAAATGCTTTCCAGCAGTCACTGTTCGCAAATGCTGCTTCCTATCATGAGATGTGCTGTAATCAAGTGTAGGGAAGTCCAGTGATAGCCATGCATGTGTGAATAAGCTGCTTTGAACCAAATACAAGGTTCTCAGTGAGATAGCCGAAATCTGTTCCTTCCCTGTTTCTTCACTCTTTCTCATTCATTTCTTTGAGGCTTAAGCTATATACATACATACATATATATATATATATATGGAGAACTTATATGCCGCCCCATTCGCATAAGCCTCGGGGTTTTTCTGTGCGTGCTTACCTGGAAATAAACCATGTTGAACGCCGTGCCACTTATTTACACATCCAATTTATAGATAGAGATAGAACTGCACAGTAAACGCATTTGAAAAGCTGATATAGTTCAAGCATGTATTTTTCAGCCAAAAGGAGCAGATCGGAAACAAAAGACAGACAGGGAAAAGATTGAAAAGCAGTCCCTTCAGGAACGCGAGAAGTATCAGCCTTCGTACGAAAGCACAATGCTGACAGAGGTACGTGTGCTCTTTCTGCAATGGCAACAGCCTGTCCTCGACACAACGCTGTCTAACCTGGTTTCATCCTGGCAACACATCAGCTAGTTTAGACGCAGGTAAACAACAGGTCGGTCTTCCCAGCCTGGTACCCTCTGGATGTTTTGGACCACAACTCCCAGCATTACTGACCATTGGCCATGGCGGCTGGGACTGACAGGAGTCAAGGTCCTAAGCATCTGGCAGGCAACATGTTGGGAAAGGCCGCCGTGAAGCAACTTCTATTGTTTATCACTTCCTTCTGCAGCGGTGGGAGAAGGAAGGCTCTGGTGGATTCACGTGGTTTCCAGACAGCTCTTGGGACTGGTGGGCGGGGGGTGGGGGAAGGTTGTGGCTGGCTGCCTTGTCCCCCAACTTCTACATGAAACCCCTGAGAGGGGTCATTTGGCATGATGGAATGCACTGTCATCAATATGCTAATGATATGCTGATGACATGGGGCTTTATTTACCCTTTTCATCTTTAACAGATGAGGCTGTGGCTGTGCCTAACTGGGGCCTGGTTGTAACAGTGGGCTGGATGAGGGCTAAAAACTGGCGCTCAATTCAGACAAGAGCAAGGTGCTGCTAGCAGGTGGATCTTCTGACCATTTGGAAGGAATTCTCCCTATTCTGGATGGGGTCGCATTCCCCTTGAAGGAGCAGGTTTGTCGCTTGCGAGTTCTCTCGAGTCACCTTTGCCACTTGAGGCCCAGGTGGCCTCAGTGGCACAGAGTGTCTTTGGCTGGTAGCCCAGCTGTGCCCCTCTCTGGACAAGGATAGCCCAGCTTCATTAACCTGCATTCTAATAATCTCTAGACCGGCTTCCTGCACCCCAGCACTCTGTGTGGGGCTGCCTCTGAAGACTCCTCAGAAGCTGCAACTTCTGCAAACTGCAGCAGCCAGATTAATAACAGGGACCAGAATATCCAACCATTTAGTGCCAGTTCTAGCCCATTGACATGGACTGCCTGTATGCTCTTGAACCTAAGGTGCTGGTTTTAACCTGTAAAGCCCCTGCACTGCTTGTAATCACCATCCTTGACAGAACGCCCTTCCTAAGCACAGTCTGCTTAACCACTGTGACCAAGTGCTGGGGCCTGCCACCAATTCCACGTCTGAGGGAGGCTTGGTTGGGGCTTTTCAGTGGTGGCCCCCCAGTTATGGAATGAGGCCCACCTGGGACCAACTTTAATATTGTTTCAGTGTGAGGGTAAGTCTGGCTTCTGTGACAAGGAATTTAGTTAGTTTACTATTATCCTGGAGAATTATTATTAGTACATTACATTTCTGAGGTGCCTGGAGCCAAAGTTCTCTTGGCAGTTCACAACTTTTTAAGTCACCCGTCCAGATTTCAACCAGGCCCAAACCCTGCTTAGCTTCCAGGATTGGGCAGGATCAGGCCCTTCAGGCCATATGGAATTATGTCAGCTACTTAACAGGTCTTGTGCTTTAATTTGTGTAAGCTATCGTAGCTTTTGAAATTTACTTTTAAAATTTGTATGTTTATGTTGTTACTGTTTTGCAATTTAATTAACTTCTATGTTGCCCAATAGCTGAAGCCCTTTGGGGTGTGGATGAGTTATTATAAATTTAGTGTACTTTATCTGTCACTGTAAACCACTCAGAGAGCTTCAGCTATTGAGTGGTATCAAAATATATAATAATATTAATAATAATAATAGATCTAGGCAAGAATTGAATTTTAATAAGGAGTACACACACCCCCTCCCAAGATTTTCCCTTGGGTTGTTTTTTGATTAACACTCTTGTCAGATTTTTGCAACTGTTTTGGTGCCATAGTTGCTATGTTTAGAAGGATCTTCATGTGATAAAGTACTCATGGAAAAACCTACCAGCTACTCTCTCATTTCTGCATCCCCCACCCCTCTATCATTGCAAATTAGTTTTAATTGAAGAGGAGCTACTACTGATTTGGTTGATTTGTTGCAGAGAAGCAAATGAATGTTAGAATTATGTTACTTGAAGTGATTTGAATGAGAAATTGATTGCTGGCTGGCTTTGACTTCTGCAAATGCAGACAAATCCTAGTAATAATTCTAAGTTTGCAAATAGATAAAATAGCCTTTGTATATTTTATGAATATTTATGACCTGTGGACCTCAGCCCTAGATCTTTTAAGTGTCTGGCAATGCCTCTATCAGTTTGTCCATCTCTGCTCTCCCCACAGTGTTTTACAAAACTGTTCACTGAGTTTTGTAAAACACCTAGCATACTTTCCTAAATGCATTTATCTATAAAGTAAATTCTAGTAAAATAATCTAAGATACAATCTTTCCTGCAACTATGTATAATAATAAAAGTGCATAACAATGTTTGACCTAGTGACTTCAATCAACATAATAATAACTTGGTGTATGTTCAAATCAGCATAAAAATGTTTTCCCTTGATGGAATTTAGATTTAAAAAAAAAATCTGGGGGTGGTGGTTTGTTTCTCCTCCTAACTTTCAGAACAGGTCAAGATGGCCTGCAGTTAACTTCATCTCGTGCCCCAAAATGTATACTTTTTGTGGGGAGTCACAAAAGCATCCCACAGACCTTTTGTTTTGCAGATTCTGGAACATTTTATACCCCAGGCATTTTTTGTTTATAGGAAAAAAATTGTGAAAGGACAGAGGCTGAAATTTTGGGATGTTGTTTACTACCCTGCATTTGACAATATCCTAGGAGGTCTAGACTGTAGGTCTACTTATATGTAAAATGCACAACAGTATCTGAGCCTAGGTTGGGAATACCACCCCACAGTACAGGAGGAAGCAAGTGTGCGTTTGTGGAGACAGAGCTGCTACTTGAAGAGTTTTAACCGAAAGGCCAGACTAGGTCAGATGATGTTCAACGCCATCTGCACTTCTGTGTTTATTCCAAGGTGTTCTCTGGCTTCCTCTAAGGACAGACACAACCTGTTGAGAATTAGCTGAAGCTTGTTTTGTTTTGAGTAGGCCCAGAGCCCAATGGGGCAATTTGCCCGCAGGAGAAAGCGCAATAAGGGCTCTTCTTTCCTACAGTTCTTTGGCATGCGCAGCACCCCAGTTTTTATAGCAGCCGTGGAAGGCAGGGGGCTGTTCCAGGTCACAACCAGGGCAGCAGCAAAAGGGTTACTTCTCTTCCCCATTCCAATTCGGATGCGAAGCTGCTATTCACTTCACAAACAAATGTCACAATTGCTAACTGTGCCAATAAAACCAGGCTGGTCCTGCCTACAGCAGATTCTGCCCCACCTGGGATACATGTTGAGAGAGAGATGACGCACACTGGGAATTATAGGTCTTCTCTTTCTCTAACCACACATAGGATTGCAGTTCAAGTCTCTCTTTGTTTATAAGCAAATTACTTCCTGTCAGGATTTGGGTTGGGGTTTTTTTGGCGGGGGGGGGGTGGTGGTGGTGGTGGTGGTGGTAGATGTGTTATGAAGCACAATGGGATATTATAGTTTAAAATGAAACATTTTTTTCCAACATACAAACTCCACAACTCTAAATCCTTAACAAAATCTGATACTGGGATTAAAACTGTTTTTGAAGCCCAGAGGCCCCAATACAGGCACTGTTTAAGAGCTTCTTCAATCCTGGAACTTCCTGGGTTAATTCTTCTTAGAGTTCTGCACCATAAAAACCTAATTATTATTATACTAATGAGTCTGCTCTCACTTGTCCTGAACCATGCAAGGCACTGAAGCCACATCCCATGTCCACCAGAAATCACCTCAGAGTTCTTGATATCATTCTCTATATAAATTTGCTATTTTTTAAAAGCAGGCATTGTTCTCTGAATTTCAAGGTTGGCTTCATATAAAACTAGAAACTTGTTTTTTTCAACCAGCCAGCCAGCCAGAAGGTATTCTAAAAATAGAGTTCTGTTCTTCCACAGTCAAACTCAGAAGGGGTTAGAGCCAAAAAGAAAACCTGTTGAAGATTGGTGATGGTATGAGATGCAGTTTCTGGGGTCTAATATTTCTTCCTTTGGTTCTATTTCCTCCCACCCCCTTCCCAGTGCGCCCCGTGGCCCGAAGCTTCCAGCAGCCTCCACAGCCCTCCAGCCACTCCCAGCCTTGTTTCTCCACACTCCTTCAAGCTTCAAACTCCCGAAAGGTAAACCAGGCAAAACAAGCACCTGTAATAGCATTCAGACCCTCATTCTTTTGAAATCATGGCTTCACCTGCTTTTCCACTCTCCTTGGCAGGGTCTGCGCCTCACCGAGCTACGCCTTGGACAGCTCCTCAGAGAACATGGCAGAGGTAAGCAGACCACCAGCAGGGCGGAGAGCCCAATGGTGAAAGTGTTGGACTGGGACTTGGGAGCTCTGGGTTCTAATCCCCTCTCAACCATGAAGCTCCCTGGGTGACTTTGGCCAGTCACTGATGCTCAGCCAAGCCTACCTTACAGGGTTCTTCTTAGGATAAAGTGAAGCCACCTCAGGTTCCTTGCAAGAGGGAAGAAGATGGGGTATAAGTGTAACAAAAAGAGAAAAACAGAAGTCACAAACTCATAGAGGCCAACAGCAGGACACCTGCTTTCTTGCAAGCATATCACAAAAATAAAGATAAGAAAACGTGGGTGCATCTTTTAACAATGCTTTGCAATTTTTCAGATTCTGTTTCTGCACTCTTAAGAGCAAGTTGTTTTGGATGATTCACACAGTGGTTTTCAAATAGTTTTCTGTGGTACTGTGTAAGCAGATTAGAATTTCCCCCATGGATCCTGTAAGGCCCGGAGAAAGGTAGCCCCCCTTCTTTTTTCTGCCATGGATGGTAACAGATGAGGGCTGGACCATGTTTTTAACATTTTTTCTGTTAAAAGGCACAGTGGAAGGCCTGAAAAACCTGTCGTGTGCAAAACACCCAGCAAATTTTCAGTATGCAGAACGGGTGCCCTGAGGGGCAGAGAGTTTGAATCCCACCTCACTTGCATAGGGATTTGCAAGCTACATGTAGCATGAGGCAAGGTGAGGAGGCTACCCCAAACTGCCGTGTTTTGCTGCCATTAAACAGAGTGATGTGGAAGATAAACAGATTTGATTCGCAGGGCACAATTCCCCAGAAAGTTTGCCTGCTGGTCTATATTCAGAGTCTGGCGCCTGCTCACCTTACCAAACACAGTGTAATGGTGCCACCTGGTGGCCAAAGATGGCTTTGACGTCAGATGCTAAATGTTAAAAAGGCAGGTATCCACGTTCCCCCTTGGTTGTGAAAATGCTCACAACACAACAAAGGTGCCAGATAACTGATGGTTGCTCCCTTAAACCATCATTTTTCTTGAAATGGCACATGGGACACTGTTGCTGCCTTTCACATCCACCTAAGGGTGCTGAGGAGGGAAACTGAGGACTGCAGCTGTCCTCAGTTGTTCACACCCATGCCTTCCGCCATCTTGGATACCTCATCCAGGACTTTGAATTTATTACACATGAAAGATCCTGAGCAACAGTCTCATGGCTCTGGTTTTGTTTCACTTTCAATTCTCTCCAACAGGTCTTCCAGCAGCTACAATAAAATGCAGGGACATTGGGAGTCTTTATTTCACTTCAGGGGTTTGTTTTGTTTTTTAATGTGAAATTCTGAAGATTCGTGCAAGCCACTCAATGACTCAGGAACAGGGAAAACTATATTGGGCTTTCTGCAAAATGGCACCTCTACATGTATCGGTCTCGTTACTTAGAGATGACGCTGGCTGTGGTATAACACATTACTGAATAAGAGCAGCTGGCTCACATGACTACAAGACTCCTCTTCAAAAGATTGTTATGAGAATATCTGTGAGCATGTGCAGAGTTCTGTGAAAAAGTGGGCTAGGGTCTGGGGAGCTGAGCCTGGGGAGACTGCTGGATTCCATACCTCACTACTGAATCTTCCCCATCCTTAGTCTTAACTATTTAAATTTTATACAGTAGTTTTTATTTTTAATTGCAACTCCCAGAGAGCTTTAGCTATTCAGTGGTATAAACTTGTGATAAATAAAAATATCCAAGAGATATTTAGGTATTTGTGGCTAAAATATTTTCAGTTTGGCACCTATAAAATGCATCCTGTGACAAAGCCAGAGAAAATAAACGCACCTTTAGGACTCTTTTCAGCTGTGGGTCTGAGAATGAACACAGGATATTGCCCGGAGCTGTGAGGCAGCCCTTCACTCCAGCAACTTGCCCCAGGATGGCAAATTTAGCATGGTGTGGTAGTTATCCAAAACCACAGGATCTAAATTTGATTTCTAAACAAAGTCCTTGCCACTGCTTCTTCTAAAGCTGTGCGGACCTCACCATTCCTAAAGGAGGCACTGGTCACTACTTCTGAGGTCCAAATAACCAACTGAACTGTGGCCAGTTTCACAAGCTAAGGAGGGGCAAGGATCTAAAGAGCAAGCTGGTGCCCTCTGAACAGCCAATCTCTGTCCTCAGGTTATGCATTCCAGAAGGGATCTGTGACGACGTGGCTGAAGGACACACGTGCTCTGTAAATCTGTGGCTCTGATCAACTTTTCTGCAAAATGGGTTTAAGCAGCTGTATTTCAGAGCCTACATCCAGAAGGCCTTTCACCACCTGAAAAAGCTCTCCTGGGTGACATTGAAAAGATGCAGTGGTGGCAGTGAAATACAATTTCTTTGCCACCATTGCTACTGAAGAATTAGTTAGAAAATGAGTTATCATTTGTGCTGGAATATCATCATTATAAGTCTCGTGCCTTTTGCATTCTGATAGTCAATCTGGGTATCTCGTTGCCCTCATAGAATCATAGAATGGTAGAGTTGGAAGGGACTGAGAAGGCCATTGGGTCCAACCTCCTCAGAGTACCAGGAGCTGACACAACTGTGCAACTAGACTAGGGACATTTGGGAGAAATCAAATTATATTCAGGTTCCTTTAAGATCTTGCACTGTGGTCTCTGTAGAGCTTACTCTATCCACAGCTCAGCCCCAGAATGGATTTTGAGCACCAGGACTCAGGCTTGGAAAAGAGGCGAAAATCTGGAGGAATGCTTCTGACCAACCAGAATTTGCTCCTCATCGTGTAAATACAGCCCACACACTTGCAATTGCTGGTAGGGGGCACGTTTCCCAGTGGCCTTTGAATTGCAGTTGAGCTGACCTTGCTTTCTCTGTGTGTGTGTCTTTCAGGCTCTGAACCCAAGTGCCTCCATCTTGGAAACTCAACAGTGGTTACACAAAAACAGATTTTCCAATTATTCCCGGGTTTTTGCCAGCTATACAGGTGAGACTTCGCTTCCATGGCAGGGCTGCCCATAAATTTATCGGAAGATTTGCCGCCTCCTTGCACCTTTGTAGTCTCCTCATACTGATGTTTTTTCTTGCCCATCCAGATCCACTGGGAAAAGAAATTTGCTTTTGTTTTTTAAGGCATGGAGAAATATTTCTCTCTGTGGCATTTAAGCTTTGAGGGGAAAATAGCTAACCTGAATAGTTTTCAGAGAGCTAGTGTGGTGTAGTGGTTAAGAGCATGGGACTGGGACTCAGACGATCTGGGTTTTAGTCCCTGCTCAGCCATGGAGCCAACTGGGTGACTTTGGGCAAGTCACGGCCTCTCAGCCCAACCTACCTCACAGGGTTGTTGTTGGGATAAGATGGAGGAGGAGAATGATGTAAGCTGCCTTGAGCCCTTTGTAGGAAAAAGGCAGGATATAAATCGGGGGAAAATGTATTTGCATAGATGAATTTAGAATGAAAAGCTTCTTGGAGTAAAGACTTGCCTTTTTTGGCTTATATATGCTGCAAAACACCATGTACATTGATTCAAAGTCCCAGTGCTCCAGACCATATAGTAATTCCTAATGGATCAGAACAAAATAATCAGAACAGAAATTTGACCAACTCTGTCTCAAACCCTATGAAGTAATTTCACAAGCACCATTGTCCCAGGAAGACCCTTAAGAGCAAATTCTGGACAGGGTCAATTTTGTCCATCATTCCTCAACCTATTTCTCTTACTATAGGAAGTGATTTGCTCAAGCTTTCACGCACCGATCTTGTACAGATTTGTGGAACGGCGGATGGGATCCGACTTTCAAATGCTTTGAAAGCCAGGTATGCAATGGAGGAAGATGGCATATCTTAAACTCCCTGCTAAAGTGCTACTGAAAAACAGTTTGAGTAGGGGGAAAAACCTCTTAAGTAGTAGTTGCAGGTGGTGGCCAAATACAAAAGAGGATGGGGCCTTCCTACACCTTTAACAGATGTGAGGAGGCAGAAATTTGAGCAGGTGAAGCTTGTACAAGAAGTGACACCTGTGGAAATTCCCTCTTCTGTCCAGCTGTTCAAGGTGCAGGAGCTTCCTGGTGCTAACGCCCTTAATAAAAGGCTATACTCTTATCCACATATATCAAGAAGCAAGTCCCAATAATCTCAGTGAAATTTACTTCAGAGTAACCATATCTGGGATTGTACTGCACATAGAACAACTTTCTACAAAGATAAAAGGAAGCCAGGGTCCAGCATTTTAAGTCCCATTGATCTTAATTATGTATGTTTCATTTTCTTATTGAAATGTATGGAATATAAAAGTACTGAATGTTGGCTAGATCATGCCAAGAAAACTTCCACTGGAACAGGTTTGTTTTTTAACCACAATCACTTTGAAAATTAGACAGAAGGAAGAGGAGGTGCTACTTAATTCAGGTATATCCACAAAACTGCAGTGGACAGGTATAAGTGATGTGACAAGCCCTGGTGATTTCTTGTACAGGATGGTCTGTCGTGCCACCTGAACCCTGTTGTGATATTTCATCATGGTATGGTTGGGTTTCAGAAACCAAGATAAGAAACAGTCGTCTGCTTTATGGTTTCCACATTTCATCAAGGTTTCTCCAGTTGTCCAAACCCACTATCGTGGTTTCCACCATTCTGCAGCTACCACAAAGTCCCAGGAAAGAGTGGCAGCTGTAGTGTCCTTCAATCATCCAGCATGGGATTGAATTCCATGCACAGTTACTAATGGGATACATGTCAAAAATGAAAACCATACTAGCATAGAAACCACTTGATTGTCTGTCAGGCATATCTAGGCAAAAACTGGTACACCATGGAATCCATGCAGGGTTGTTTGTTATGATGTGTGAACACAGCCAATGTGTAGTGGTTAAAAGAAAACTTGGTTCAAATGTGTACTCAGTCATAAAATTCTAGACTGGTTCATTTGACCATCGTGAATATTAAGCCCTAATGGGCAGACATGCACTGTATCATGACTCATAAACCAGCACAGGTTAGATTCTCGCTGTGGTTAACAAGCCATGCACAACCTCAGAACAACCCATGGGTAGTATGTGGTTTATTAACAATGGCAACAGAGGTTCAGATGTCACAACAAGCTGCACTGCTGAGGGTAATTATGTTAATCCAATCAGCATGTGTAGCAGGAGAAATTAGCCACTGTAGCTTATTTTCCCTGCTGCAATGGTGTGAATGGGGCATCTCTGAGTGAGTTCACATGTCAGAATAAGCTGCCCTGAAAATAAGCCACATGGGTTGGTTGTTCACTCACTAACTAGTATTATTCCCAACAAAGAGCCAGGTGTTCTGTGGCTTCTTGTGGCTTGCCCCCACGCTGCCCATTTCTTTTACCCTTGCCAGCCATATATCCCAGGAGCCTTTGTGGCATAACCCAATCCTGTCCCAGCTGTCAGTTTTCCTTGAAATACAAATGACAGCTTTTGTCAGTAACCTGGCAGAGAGTGCGAAACAGCCCTTTCCTTCTGTTCCCCCGAGTCCTGGGCGCTTGCGCAAAGTCTGTGGTCTGGCTGCAACTGCAGGTGAATAGCAAGCAGGTTCTGGGGCTCAGCCCTGGTGACTGTGATCTGCTCCTGCCTTGCCCTAATCCTTGTAATTTCACTGCTTTCATTTCTCAGACAACACTCCATTTTGACCTCCCACTGCTCTACTCCCTGTGCCTGCTTTCTCTTTCCGTGATCTAGTAGCCTGTTGCATAGCTCAACTGACCTCCAAGAGACTGATTACAATCCCCCCTTCCTTCTCATAAGCAAAAAGCTACAAATGACTAACCTGCAATACCAGATTAAAGGTATAGAAAGAGGAGTTGCTTGTGACTGTGAGATTACTGCCCCACAAACTTTTGTTCTTTGAGCAAACAGCTTGTGCCTCTTAATTTGAATGCCAGCGGTTCATTCAGTGTGTTCCAGCCGAGCTCCTCAAAGCCTGGGCCAGACAGCCATGGCGGAGGCTGGTTCCGAGGTTGCATCTGTGTCATGTGATCAGGAAACCAGCTCTTGGGAGAGGGTACAAGGCCATGCATCCTCCGCACCATCTCTTTCCTCCACCCGACCTTGACCACAATCCAGGAAAAGGAAGTGGGAAATGAACACAGGCAATCTGGGGGCAGGGAGGCTAGTCCTTTTACTCCAAAGCACTGTTACCACCCTTTCTTTCATTCCCATCCAATTCCCTGTTAAAAACACAATTTGTCACTAGCTAAAATGTTTGACTTGAAGAAGTAACGTTTGGTGCTCCTGTTCGTACACCAACTGATTGAGTGGGATCACTAACAGAAAACTACACTACTGAGATAGTGATATCAATATAGTGCTCCTGGCATTTTAGAGAAAAATTTGGCAACTGGAGACAAGTTGCTTACCCACCAAAAGTTTCCAAGAGTAGATTTGGACAGAATCTCCTCTCTGGCCTGGGTACCCCATCAGAATGGATCACCCAGGAAGAAAGTGTTCTGGTTTTCTTCCCCCACCCCTTCCATTCACATCTTGGATGTAAATTACAGAAGCTACTTTTGCAGTTAAAGCAGGGGAAATAGTTGGTTTGCCTATTTTCATGTAGCCTGAAACATCTCCTTCCCACCCTCCCCAAAGAGCCAGGCAATGACTCTGCTAAAACTTTTCACAAATGCTCTTTTCACAAGGCCTGGCTTTGGCTTTAATCCTTCCATCCTTTTCTGTGCCTGCCTACGCCTATTGCCCTCCAGCCAGGCAGGCCACATCTGAGATTTGATTTCTAACTCTCAGACCTTAATACCACCATTATTACAGCTGTGCCAGCCAGCTCAGCAGCCTAGAAAAGTATGCTGTTCACTTGTTTGGTGTTCTCAGAGCAAAGCATGTTGTTATTCATCCACACAGCTGAGTTTGATCCTTGCAGTGGCTCAGCTATGGAACAACCTGACACCACAAATAGTTTTGCTTTGCTTGGATATTCCTGATTCTGTGCTTGCTCTTTACAAGAATTCTGCAAGGTAGGGTTATTCTCCTCCTCTGACATGGGGCAGGGCTGAGAGAACAGCTTACCTCAAGCATTCAGGGCTGATGGGAAATTTGAATGGGGAACCTCCCAATAGATCCTCGCAGAGTCCACACAGGCCCTGATCTGACTTCCCTCCCTCCTTTCAGGTGTGTGCGCCCTCGGCTCATCCTTTATGTCTCAAGGGAGCTGGAAACAAACGGGAACAATGGTCCACACAATCCAACATCTAGTAAGTCAAAGTTACCCTACTATGTTTTATCACCAGGGGCTTTGTGGTTCAGCTGTTTCTATCTCTGTAGGCAGTAAAAACATGTTTTCATTTTAAGATGATGTTCGAAAATATTTTTATTCCAGAAGACATTTTAATTGTGGAAACTACCATATTTTCACTTTGTTCTGGTCTGGTTTGAATGTTCTGTGTTATGTTTGTTTTATTTAATACTTAACATATTATTATGTTTCCTGTAACATAATCTATTGTGGAAAAATGAAGAAATAAATAAAAGAGAAAATGTTATTTCTTTTCTGTTTCCAAAAGCAATATATCAGGAGTTGTATCTGGAAGAACTGACCGCCACTGAACTTACCAATAAGCTAGCAGAACTGCTCAGTCTCCCAGCCAATCAGATCCAGCAGGTTTCCAGACAGGGACCTACAGGAATCCACATCCTTGTCAGTGACCAGGTAGGAAAGAACTGGAAACTTGTTTTGAAGATGCCAAAGCTGGGCTTGTCCTTTTAGATCACAGAGACGGAATCACAAGACAAGAAAACAAGTTCGTTGCTTCAACAAATCAGCCCATAGAATTCACCCTACATTGTGTCCAAGAGGTGCACCATAAGAGGAGCTAATCAAGGAATGGGCCGGTTTGCACAATCACTGAGGGTTAAACAAGCCATGACACATGCTGAGCATTTGTGTAACCATCTGCATAGTAACAGTTTGTCATGTCATCCAAACTTAGGTGAGATTGTTGCAGTGCGAAACAACCCTCCAATAGGGTTGTTTGGAGGTAACTGATGGTAGTGGTGTGAACTAGATCATTAACTGCAGGTGGCATGATCAAGTGAGGCAGGCAATTCCCTCTGGGTAGAAACTGTGTATATGTTGAACGTGTGTCAAACGCTCGATCCACAAATGCAGAGGGCAAGCAGGGCCTGCTCCAGCGTGCTGTTCTTCACAAGTCTGCCTTTGACCACACACTGGACAGAAACCGGTCCAGAATGGGAAAGCTCTGCGTGTTTGGCCGAAAGTGCTTAGAACTCGCAGTCGGGAGCCTCAGCCAAAGACGTGCAGATGGCACTCACTGTGCAAAGATCAGAGTTGACAGGAAGTTGGGGCCTGGCCAGCACAAGTGTCCTGCTCCCCTTATAAACATTCCACAAATTACTTCTGGAAGGAGCCGAGGTCTAATCCAGCCTTTCCAAAGCAAGTCCCCTCCAGATGTACAACTCTCTTCAGCCCCAGCTAGCAGTCAATGGTCAGGGATTATAAGCACTGTAGTCTTGGAAAGTACCAGGTTGGGGAAGACTGGTTTGATCAAACTGATGCCTCCTGCATGCTGTCCTAAGACTGCTTTAAAACTGCAGTTTGAAGAAGCACAGGAAGTCAAAGTTATGAACATCCGAGTTACAATCAACCTGTACTTAGGAATGAACTGCTATAAATCCTATTAATTTAAAACAATTACTCTGAAGATTGTCATCACCATAGAGAAGCAAAGGGAGAAAAAGCATCAACAGAGAGGGAGGGAGGGAGGGAGGGAGGAGGCAAAAGGGGAGAGAGGGAAGGCCTCCAAAGCATGCCTTCCTGTCTCACTTATCTGGACAGGGACATCTTTCCAGCATTTCCTTGCTGGGAAGAGGAGATGCTGCCGAGTTTGCGGGGAGGGGGAAGAAGATCTGTTTTTTCCAGTTTCATGGGACACCTAACCCCTGCAAATGTGGAGGTCCAACTATACGTGATCCAACTTGCATAAAAGTTTCCATGTCCATTTTTTCAGGAACAGAACTCTTTCATAACCCAGGGACTTCCTATACATCATGGCCAGTACTTTCTCTCCCACCTTGTCTCAAGATAGCTGAAGGGGCTAGTGAGCGCAATAGTTTGCACATGGCTTTGTGAAATTTTAGTTAGACCACATCCCTTTACTTTTGCTTTTGGATCTTTTTCTGATGGAGCAATTTTATGGATTCCCAGTGATCTCTGTAAGGAAGATTGGTGTGATCGTAATCATTTTATTTAGGAATTTTTGTATGCCATCCCATTTGCATAAGCCTCGGGATGGCTTCCAAAATCATAAACAATCATACAGATAAATATATATAAAATTACAATATGAATCATTGTGTTCATACTGTGAATGCTGTGGCTGAGAAAAAAAAACTTTGTCTAAGGCAGCGACTGTCAGCTTGTGGCAAAAGCAGCTTGTGGTGCAGCTCAAATGGTTTAGGCCATGTTCCACCAGTTCTTTACCCTTCTTGATCTGACACAGGCTATTCTGGAAAACACACTTTCACACCCTGCAGGAGCAGAATTCTATTTCTGAGAAGCCTAGCCTAGGAAACAAGTTCTGGGACAAACCAGACTAAAATGTGTGTGAACGTATTTTTCAGATGAACATCAGCACGAGTCTGGCCATCTCTCTGTGTGTGCACCTGTTATACCCACACTACAACACAACTGGGTTTTAGGTCTGCCCACAATCCCTTCTGACTCATAACTACCAAACTGCCATCTGTCACTGAGGTCTTTGTGGAATTTTATTTTTGTTTTATTACAAACCTGGCAATTTCCTGTAGATATATATATTTTTAAAATCAGTTACTTTGAGTCTGGCCAACATCTAAACTTATGTTGTTCTCTCCTGGGTTGTCACAGATGGTCAGAAATTTTCCAGATGAATCATGCTTTGTAGCAGCTGTAACAAAAGGTAGGTAAGCTTTCCTGCAACATTAGTACATGTGTAGCACCTTAAATACCAAGGTATTTATTGTGGCGTGACTTTGCATGGATCAGAGCCTACAGCCAGATGTTTGAAGGGTTCGCCCTCAGGTGGCAAAGGATGTATATCTCATGAGTTGCATCCAGGGTTCCCTTCTATGAATGAAAGGGTTTCTATTTGCAGAAGGCTTAGGATCCAGCAAAGGCTTCTGCTACATTAGATTCTGGGAGACAATTTTTGCTGAAACCGTCTTCCTCTGCCGCCCCTCTACTGCCCCCACTCAGTTCTGAAGGATCAGTATGGCAGAGCACCCTTCCAGGAGACACCGAGGAAGGAAATCTGCAAAAGTAGCTTCTTCATTCAGCAGAAATGTCCCAGGAGTGGAGTTTTGCCCACAGGGAACTCGGCATCCAGCCCTATTATGTTTATTTGAGGGTGAGGAATGCACAGTGGAGTATTATGAAGAGTTGCTTTAGTATTTATGTAGGCATTGCAGAGAAATGACTTTCACATTTTGAGTTTTTGGCTACTTTATAGTGTTTTTCTTAATCTGGCAACTTATGTTAAGCCTTGCTTTCCATCACGGAATTCAACAGGAAGGTGGGGGGGGGGGGCTCATCGTTACTTTCTCCAAGCATTGCCCAGACTGAGAACTGCTTTGTTCAGGAAGGGGACTCACTCTATCGTGCTTCCCAGCTCACTCCTTCATTTTAGTGTGCTTGCATGTTTCAGCCAAGTCAATTCAATGTATATATACCAGCATATAAGATAACTTACGTATAATGACAAGGTCAATATTTTGAGCTGCTTTTCTGGTGTTTGCCATAGGTCGGTGTATAAGACAACTCCCATTGCTGGTTTCAAGGGTCCTCTTATATGCTGTTTTATACAATTGTATTTGTAGCAAAAAACAAAACAAAAACGAACAGAAAAAACAGCAAATACCTCTAGATATACTAAGAGACAAAACATGTGAGGCTGGCTGGTACCAAGACAAGCCCCTAGAAATATGTGTACTTTTTCTCTAGAGATATTTGTGGCTTTCCCACTTTTGCAGGGGTCCTAAGATTTCAGCCATCTGCTGGGAGCTTAGAACGGATCCCCTGTGGATACAGGGCTTTTACTGTATGATGAAACTGTTTCATCTAGCATATAAGACCTCCGCCCCATTCTTGCCTTGCTATTTTTGTTTCAAGTGTCAACTTATATGCTGGTATATATGGTAAATCCTCCCACATCTGAAAAACTGGGTTTTTAACAAATTCTTTTGCCACTGTAATGCTTCGAAGATGCCACCAAACTCAATATTTTAACTGTATCTGACTTATGATGGCTTCCTCTGTAGAATTTGCTATCTTGAAAGGTCAGAATTAGAATATGCAGACATGGAGGTGGACTGTGGAGTCTTAAAGGGATCAGCCCTTTATAAGGTCTTTTTGCCTTAGAAGGCCACACAAAAGAAAAAAAAAAGGACTATATCCAGTTGCATTTACTTCAGGCAGTTTTGCAATCTGCACATTGAAAACCTACAGATGGTGACAAAATTGATTCCCCAAAGGGGAGGCAATCGCTTGGTTTCTATTAGGTTAGACATGCACATGGTAGACATGTCATGAACGGAGCCAGCTGGAGCTGGGGGTCAGACTAGATGGCCCAGGAGACCCCTTCTGACTCACACAGTTTCTCTTTCTAAAATAGCTGGACTGGACAAATGCTGCTGCAGAAAGCATTCCCTCAGCTTGCGTTCCCTGTCTTGCCATAGTTCTTGCACAAGTGTCCATAAAATCCCAGAAGTGGCTCAAACAACCAACCCACTTTGAAATTATCCTTGGAGGGGGAGGGGAAATAAACCTTCTGGCAGAGAAACAGGCTCAAAGTGACTAGTCAATGCAGAAAATGTGTATCATTGTGTGATTGTCTTCTGTTCTGTCATTACAGTGCAGAACACGGAAGGCTATCGCTTAGTTCTAAAATAACCCGACCGTCTAGAAGACTAACTAGTGGCCTGTAAGAAGATGGGGAGCAGCATGATGCAGAAGCAGATACAGTAATAGTTATAATTAAACACAAGCTCACTGTATCCTAATGAACTCCACATTTCCCATGGCCAACTTCTTCAAGAACAAGAACTGAAACACCAAGCTGATTTTTGTTTGTAAGCAACAGGCATCTACATTGCAACATAGCGATTCTGCCCAGTTTTCCATCCTGCCTCTGAACTTTGCAAATGGTAATGAGAAGTCAACACAATTTCCCCAGAAAATTGAAAAGAAAACAGCAAAGGTGTCATAGTTACCCACTGGGAATTAAGTATCCAAGTCAGAGATCGTCAGACAAGATTGCCCAGGGTGAAATTCAATATAGTGTTGTCGTTTTGTAAACCATCATCAGCTTTGTTGTAGTGTGGAATGCAATTTTCTTTTTAAAACATGAAGCATTGTTCAACTGGTAACAAGAGGAAAAAAGCATGGCTATGACTACATAATCATTCTAAGGGGGCGATTACACATTACTTTGGCAAGTACTGCATTTGCATGTACAGTGCAAAGATATAAGACATATTTATACAGGAGAAAAACCAGGCAGGAGGGGATGCTCAACGCTTTGTTGACTCTCCCCTGCAGGTGTCCTGGAATCAACTAGGCCTGGTATCAGCACATGGCTGGGGGAAACCAGGCTAAAAGCAGAAGTGTGGGGGACACATCTGTAGAGAAGCACTCATGTGGAGCCTAACATCACTGCCATTGTCATACATCTGACATACACTCTGAAATACCATGTTTATCCAAGATTTGGTCCCAACCTTATCCATACCTCCTGAGGCACAGATGAGACTCAATGACTTTCACCTGCCCGAAGTCTATGCCAATTGCACAAATGGGATACTGGGCATTTTCCTGGGAATGTGCTGGAACACATTAGAGGTCTAAGCATCTAAATCAGGGGTCTCAAACTCAACTTACCTGGGGGCCGCTGGAAGTAGAGGCTGAGTGAGGCTGGGCCGCATCAAGTATTCCACCACCGCGGTGGTGGTGGGCCGCTCATCTGGAGGCCGGCCCGGGCGCTGCCGGCGCTTCGAAGGCCGCAGGGCCCCTCCCCCGTGCCCCGCCCATCCCGGCAATTGGCCCGCGGGCCGCGAGTTTGAGACCCCTGGTCTAGATGTTTCTGGTGAGTCATTGAGGTAATCAATCTGGCTCTGTTCCAAGTCCATTTGTGGTTTTCAGGTACTTGGTGGCAGATACCAGCCTAGCCTGTAGCAGAGAACCTCTTCAGCAAGCTCAAGGGCATGCTTCCCTCTGCGTCCCACTGGGCTGAGGCGGACTGAAAGCAGGACTACCATTGCTCTTGCCCTGTTTCTGATGCAAAGGTGGTTGTTAGGTGTGTGTGGTGGGGGGGGGGCAGGATTTGTCAGCAAGTAGCCTGGGTTGCTGCTGGGGTGGGAACAGCAGTTGACAAGTCTTGTTGGAGGTCTGCTTAAGGGATCTAGCTCATTGCCATAATGTACAGTAGGAGAAGGGTAAACTGGTAGGGGAATCCCATAATGTGCTTGTTAAAAAATTAAAAAATGTCCGAGTTTGCCAATGCATGCTCCCACGGTGAGGACAAGCAAAGTTCACTTCTCCAACAGCCAAGCACAGCACCTCAGGACACTGGCGTTTCTTTCTGTTGCCAAGTATACCCAGACTGTAGGATCTGGGGTGGCCAATAATTTTAAGGAGATAGAAACCCAGCCAAATATTAAGAACAGGCCAGTTCCCTAGCCTGCTAGTGAGATTTCAGGGCCAGCCTAGCTCTATTGCTCTGTGCTTCTTCCATGTAAATGTGCTGAACGTGCTATTTCTCTGTCAAACTTGATCTGCAGATCACGAGCACACTCAAGAGCTTCCAAACTATTTGCTTTCAAAACTCTTTTTATATTTCTTCTCACTGCTAAACCATGTTTTTCACTGATTAGTATTAACCACAATCTTTTTATAAAATCTATTTTTTACTTGTTGCTGGCTTTTAGCCCTTTTTTGTATTAAAATATGGCTGCCTTACTGCCATCTGTTACCAGCTGGGTGGCTTTTTAATGGGTTTAAAACTTTCTGCACTGCAGGGAAGCAACAGCACAATTACAAAGCAATCAAGACGGCTATTTTTATGCCAGAAACACATAATGCATTAGTGCAAACACATGCAGGAAGTGTTAATTTCTGAGTGAGAAAGATGTCTAAGAACACACCCATCTCTTTAAAATAAATCTAACTTTCGATCCAGAACCTTCTCCAATGAATAGGAAATCTGGTAAAACTTTGAGTGCACAAGGCTGATTTGGCTGGACTGCAGCTTCAGCTGCTTATGCAAAACAAATCTCAACACACACCCTGACAATTTTCCAATCTGCAGACCTCTTGATACACTACATTTCAAAGTGTACAACCCCACATTTTAAGTGTATGCCTCAAAATATAAAGTATGATTGGGCATACATGTAGCATGCAGGTACACTTGTCAAGGATGTGATAGGAAGCAAGTCCCAGCTAAAGACACACTGTAGTAAACCCAGGTTTGCTTTATGATGCTGAGAGCTGACAAGTGTTTTTCGACACTATTGCTATTACTGTTCCTGTCAAATATTCAAAGCCCTGCTTAATTTTCATGCTTCCAAGCCATAGTAGCGGCTTGCCCTTTGAACTCAAACTCATGAAATGGACTTCCCAGTGCCTTGTCCAAATATGAATGAATTATGAACCTATTTAAAGATGAAAAAATGCTGCTTGAAGAATGAAGTTAAAGCATACCACACTCCATCCCAGATACGATCATGTTATCCTGCACAGTCACAAATGTCAAGGATTTGGAAACATTTTTCTTTTTTTTGCAACAAGTTTTTGCACAATACAAACTGAGCCAAGATTACAACGATTTTGTAACATGGACAGAAAAAAAAAGATTGAGCTACATATATACATATAGTTTTACTTTTAGAGACTTGGCATTATTATATCCACACTCAAGTGTCCAGGAGAAGGGAAAGCACAGATTACAGGATCATTAAAATAGCATTTTACAGATCTCTGTGTAATATATAGTTAAAAGAGGCTGAATGGCAAGGTTCCAACTTGGGTGTCCAATAAATCTGTTTACAGATAAATTAATTTTTATTAAAATAAATGTTATAAAAATATGCTGGCCCAAACTGCCCAACATCATATGGAACATGGGAAGAATCATGGTCCAAAAATTTAAAGTTGCATTAAAAAATGAACAAACCAATTAAAAAACACAACAGTCCTTCAATCCTCAAATGGTGTATTTGTTTAATAAAAAGTGTTTACATTAGTGCTTTGCTGTAGGTTTCCTGGTAGAATTGACTGAATCACACCCGATTGCTGTAGGATCCTCAGTTCCAAAGAAGTTTGAAATTTAGCTACCAAACATCCAGCCTACAGGGTATCAAGAGTATCCCAAATAAATTTATATGCTTGCTTCTGAACTTCCAAGGCAAAGCGAAGTCAAGTGAGTAGACCATAGATTAAGACTTTCTGTCATATGGTCCTCCCCGCTTTAAACGGAATATTCTTTTTACGGAACCATGTCATACAACCCCTTTCCTACCATCCAACCCCAACCACACAATATCATGGGCCAGCCATGTCCACATTCAGATTAAACAAAACCTAACAAACATGAAGGACTTCATTATTATTGTCGCTGTTATTTCTATTTTAATGATCAATCTACCTATTCTCTTTGGGAATTGTTTCATAATTCTGACCTGTGGTTCTATCATCTTAAAAATGTATCAGGTTCTGTTGAATCAGCACTTCCCCAAAGCCGGAGGTTCTTCAGAACACTTGGCTGCAGGGATATTTTCATTCCCATCACTCTTGTTCACAAGTTGAGCTGGTCATGTATGGTTCCAGCTGACAAGAGAATGATCAAAGCTTTCCACAGTATGCAACTGTATATGGCTGAAGACAAAGAGACATGCAGCTACCACTGAAGTTCAGCTTACTATTGTTCAGACACAGAAGCAGCCAATGGGAAAACTAACAATTTTGACATCTGGAATTCTCATGATCTGCAAATGAATAAGCAGGTACGGAGGGAGGTGAAATAATGAATAAAAATTACAGTGATCACAATGGCCTTCTGACTACAATACTTTTAATATTTTGAGTAATCCAGCTGTAGCTGTACCTTGATGGAAGTGGAAGGGAAATACCTTACAGTATTTCTGTAAAGTTAACAGATTTGGCACATCTTGTTAGAACAGATATTGACCACAAAAGTTACTAAATTCACATTCATTTCCCTCACTTGGCATTCACATTGATCGCAGAATCAGGCAGCTGAGGGCTGACAATTCATTCCTACGAATATATCAAGTTCCTCAGAATGGGATATTTTTATGATAATGCATACCTACAGCTCACCTTATTTCTACAAGTAATCAGGAAAGAGTTTCACACACATTACTACTTCCATGTTATTATAAAAATATGAGCCAACTAATCAATCTCTTAAAAGCAGCAGCAAGATATCCATGGGAATCTCACAGAGCATGAAAAATGGGTGACAGCCTGCCTGTTTGTGCCCAACATCTCACATCCAGAGATGCTCTTGCTTTTGAAAGGGGAGGTCCATTCCCCACCATCATGGACAATTCTTGTTCAAAGTCATGTATGCAAGGAGTTAAATATTATAAACAAAGGTTTTGGATGCTTTTCAGTGTCTTAGCTTAAAAATAAACTGTTGTGCTTTTGTAAGCTTTTCAGCTCATGGGCTTTGAAACATATATTTCCATTATTTACTTGATGGTTTAGTAAACATGTGGTGGTGGGAAATTGCTTTCTATCATAATATGCACAAAGAAATCAGGATCAAACAAACATGGTAACTTCTAACTTATCAACTATCTGGTTCAACACATTCATGTACTTCACACTTGATAGAGTGCACACAAGTTAAAGCAGAAATCAATCCAAAGTCCATAGCAGAGACTTGAATTCACCTTTCCCAAGTCCCAAGGGATCAGTGTACACCAGGGACTGGAACACAGTGAAGTGTAGCCTTTCTAAAAATTAATGATGTGTATTTCCCCTTTCTCATTGACACATTCAAATCTGCTCTCATTGCATTTTTTTAAAAAGTGCTAAAGTGAGTGGGAGTGAACACTAAAAATAAAGTGTGCAGGGAGCTTTAATCCAATGCAAATATTGTCTTCCGTGAAAGCCTATGCAATGTAATATATATAGAGAGCATAGCTTATTGACATTTTTAATTAATTCATTGACAAGGGGAAGGAGATGCTTGACTTTAAAAGGGATTCTTTCAAATTGTATCATCTTTTCTGCTCTTTCACCTGAAAAACCATCACCACCATATTGGTCTCAAATGCTCAATGTCTGGAATCCACTTTGCCCACGCACCACTTCCTGTGGCACTGCTTTGCTGGGGAGGCTGACCATGTAGGCTGCTCTAGTGGGAATGACCCCTACAATCAGCCCATCTGAACAGTTGGAACAGTCCCACAAACACACCTGAGAGGTGTTGGGTTGCAAGATGAGGAAATGATTCCCACATCATGGCATGAGAGAGAATGAAGTCCTTAGAGGAACTATCAAAAATCGGACAAGTGAAAACACGTCACATGCAATGCAGCCGGCACTGCCACTGCGTAATTTTCATTCATGCCAAAGTGGTCTGTACAGGAATAATACTCGGTGGAATGGTACTCATGCCCCCACGCTTTGTTTCTTCAAAACGAAAAGTCCCCAAACACTCTAGGATTACTCTCAGCTGAACACACACAAGCTGATGGCAGTATACACACATGGTCCTGGCAATTAGTACTTCCCACACTGATGATGATGGCCTCTATGATGTTTGGGATTCCAAAGAGGGACTGTTCTGTCAGGTTTTAGAAATGAGGTGTATTAGTCATATGGTAATGGAAGACTATCATCCATGTTTCTCACTGAAGTCAGTGAAATATTCCTTAAAACAGAAAACTCGCAAGAAAAAAATCAGGTGAGATTTTTGCAGGCAAGCAGGGAAAAAAGACAGCATTTTTCTGTAAAAATAACAGGCTTTCCCTTTTCAGTTCTTTGGTAGTAGTCTGCACTGCTGTAAGGCCCTGTGAAAAACCACACATGGGTGGGTTTGGGAAACTTACCACAGGGATGTGTGCTTGTATGAGAAAGCAAGAGCATGTGTGCAAGAGAGATAGAGAAATTACAGATCACTGCATACATTTTAATATTTCTCAGGAGGCACTGGGAAAACACATATGCTCTGAACTCCAAAGAAACTGTTTAACTCTTTCAGAAAAATAAGGTAACATTTGACAGGACAATTTCTATAAAACATGTTATTCCCCAAGTCCGATCCCCGTTCTTCTTGTAGTTGCTATTAAGGATGCTCCTCTAAGGCTTGTGAGCTTGTCAAGATAAACATTACTTTTGCTCTCCTGATCTCACCTTCCAGCAGCCTGGGGCGCTGCTTGGGTGAGAGCTCCGCTCCATCAATTCCTCGGGACCAGCCCGATCTACTTGTGCAATTTGTGCCAGGCTCCTGCCTCAGTTCTGGATGGGAACCCTGTTTTAAAACTCTATAGGGCAGAAAAGAAGTAGCACAGGCCCAATTTCTGCTCTCTTGTCTGCACAGCACCCCTTGCTGCATCCATCTTTGGTGGCCAGTGCAAATCTGGAAATACTGATCAACATTTCCGTGGGAGATGTTTCAGCCCCTTGTTGACATTTCCTAGATAGCCTGGTGGTGCCATGGCAAGTGGCATTAAGGATCTCCACAAATGCTTTCATAAGATACCATCTTCATTCTCACAGATTTGATTCACTGTCTACACTAGGCAATGGATGAAATCTTTGAATCCAGTTGATTTGGTGAGAAAGCAGCTGCTTTGCAAGCTCACGGCATTAGAAGCTGACATGGTAGACAACAAAGCGGCAGACAAGAAGTGACTGGAATGGCAAGGTGCAAATGTGAAACATTCATGATCAAGATCAGAAGTGTTCGTAAGAAAAGCAGGTGATTGTGCATCAGAAAGGAAGCCATGTGCATTGGGACTGCTTACAAACGGCTTCCTTGTGCTTTCTGTTTCAAAACAATTAAATTGGCAGGGGCTATAAAAATGGTGTCTGGATATTGTTAACATCACTTGTGAGGAAAAGACAACAGAGAGTTGAACTGCTGGAATTATTTGAATGGGACAAAATGGGAATTGCACCATGCCTCTTCCCATGCCCCCTTTAAATCCGAAACAGAGCCAAAACTAGCTGGCCTCCAAGGCACCATGAAAATGACTCCAGTGGTTTTTGAAAAAGCAGCTTTAAGCAAAACAACACAAAAGCTACAGTTATACCCTGCAGTGTTGAACAGGACAAACCTGGCCAGCTTCCACATCAAGGTAGTAACTTACTTGTATGGAAAATGCACACCTGTGAGGAGGTGTCCATGAACTCCAGATTCATCAAAGAGGATCTTTCAGAGATGGCTCTTCAGATGCAGAAAATTACCAGTAAAGACAAAGGAGCATATAGCTGGGTGCCATTTTTGATATACACGCCATGTTTCTTTGATGGGGAGACATTTGAACACACATACAGTGAGCCAGCTTGCCCGACACAAGGGTGGTTAATGAGCTGTGGCGATTTATCAATTATCTTGTATGTGCTGGACATGTGCCAGCTGATTTTCCTGATTACCCTCACTGCACATGGGTGGCTGTGATGACCAGATCTGGCAAGGGTGGATGGCTGGGGTAGTTAACAAACCACCCAGCATCCCTACAGCAGATCAAGGGGAAATAGGGAAATCCGCCTGTACATGTGGGATGCTTAAGAAGCCACCATTAACCACCCTCATGTTGCACGAAATATGGTCAATGGCATAACCCCCTCCCCAAACTGCATCATTGGTTTAAAAAACTGGAAATCTCTACAGAAAAGTTCTCTTGTATAACTTCATTTCACAGTTGTGTTTTCAAGGCTTGGTCTCCTAGTGGTAAAAGATGCCTTTGTAAAAGAAAAAATAACTTGACATATATTTTATAGTCAATCATTTCATACAATTTCAGAATTAGACATCTATTTAAAAAAACTGAAAGATACTGAGGAAGAAAGGAAGCAAAAGAAAATAAATCAGACCTGACAGTACATATTTCTAGCTTTATCGTCACAACAATCTAGGAAGCCTCTGGGCCAAATGCTATGAAACACGGAAGAGAAACCGCTGAACCTTCAACATGAGCATGCTCAGTGTATGTGCCAGCACAGAAAACAAGAAAATACAGAAGCGCAGGAATCAACGTCTCACAATGGCTGCTGTTTTAACATTCCCTAACACAAGGATGATTTTAAAAAGGGGACTTTTTTCTTTTCTTACATTTTTTTCCTCTCTGGACAGTGGCTGTAAGATTCAGTGTTCAGTTTTGTTCCCTTCCTCAGTCATCACCCTGTCCCCACATTTGCACTGAAGAGTTTGTCCAATTTGCTGCTCCCAATGTCAAAAGAACCATCTCCCCCCAGCCCTAAAGCAACAGTAGTTCTTTAGATGTGCGTGATGATCACTTCCCATTTTTTCTCCCGCCCACCTCCCCATGATTTCTTCTGAGCATGCCCAGTAGGAATGGTTCATAATTATATCAACCTACAAGGGAAAAAAGGAGAAAGATCCCACTGATCCAGCTCCTCAGCTCCAGGGTCCTTCAAGTTTGCTGGAATAAGTAGGTGCACGTGTGTGAGCGCGTGCGTGCACATGGATACGCACTATGATGTGTCTGTTTTTGTCTGTGGTTATGGGACAAGTAGGGGAACAAATTTGTGCAACCAGCTCCCCAAATTTACTTGCTTCTCAAAAGGCCCTTGCAAAAGATGGCCACATTTTTGTGGAGATAATGGTGTCCACTGTTACTGCTAGAAGGGTAATTTAAATACTCAGTTCTTTTTGCACAAGGTAGACTGGCTCCCACGTCATAGGATGATGCAACATCTGCAGAAGCGCTGTCTGCTGCCCCCCACCGATGGGGGTGGAGTCACGGGTGCGAAGTAGGCGTGGACCTTAATATTGGGTAAGTGGGTCTGAAAAAACAAGGACATATTTTCCCTTTTACAAAAGCAGAAAACATGCAAAGACAAGCACTGAAAAAACAGTGGAGCAGACGATGGACACAAAATGACACTAAACCTGTGTGTGTTGTAAGGAGCAGGGAGACTTCTTCCTAATTCTTTCCTCTTCCCTTTCTGGCAACTGCCATGCAACCATGTATCTGTTTGTTCCTAACCCACCACTGTTTTGCTGGCCAGTAAAGGAAAGCCCTTTATTTTATACAGGCTTCAAGCTTTTCGTGAATGTGTAGGCTTCTACAGAGAATTGCTACGAAGTATTCATTCAGACTCCTTCATGGATTGTCATGGTGAAGGGGCTTGTGTAGCTCAATGAAGCTATGAGCTATGCCGTGCAGGGCCACCCAAGACGGACAGGTCATACCAGAGAGCTCTGACAAAACATGATCCACTGGAGAAGGAAATGGCAACCCACTCCAGTATCTTCGCCATGAAAATCCCATGGACAGTACCAAGAGGCAAAAAGATATGACACCAGAAGATGAGCCCCTCAGGTCGGAAGGTGTCCAATATGCTACTAGGGAAGAGCAGAGGGCTAGTACTAGTAGCGTCAGAAAGAATGAAGTGACTGGGTCAAAGCCGAAAGAATACTCAGTTGCAGATGTATCTGGTGGTGAAAGGAGAATCCGATGCTGTAAAGAACTATACTCCGTAGGAACCTGGAAAGTAAGATCCATGAATCAAGGCAAGCTGGATGTGGTCAAACAAGAGATGACAAGACTGAACATCAACATCATTAATTCAGATGACCATCAGGTATACTACTGCGGGCAAGAATCCCTCAGAAGAAATGGAGTAGCCTTCATAGTCAATAAAAGAGTAGGAAAAGCAGTACCGGGATACAATCTCCAAAATGACAGAATGATCACAGTTCAAATCCAAGGCAAACCATTCAACATCACAGTAAACCAAGTCTATGCTCCAACCACTGGTGCTGAAGAGGCTGAAGGCCTACAACACCTTCTAGAAATAACACCAAAAAATGATGTCCTTATCATCATGGGGGATTGGAATGCTAAAGTAGGAAGCCAAAATATAACCAGAATAACAGGCAAGTTTGGCCTTGGAGTACAAAATGAAGCAGGGCACAGGCTGGTGGAATTTTGTCAAGAGAATACGATGGTCATAGCAAACACTCTTTTCCAACAACCCAAGAGATGACTCTACACATGGACATCACCAGACAGTCAACACAGAAATCAGATTGACTATGTGCTCTGCAGCCAAAGATGGAGAAGCTCTATACAGTCAGTAAAAACTAGACCAGGAGCTGACTGTGGCTCAGATCATGAGCTTCTTCTTGCAAAATTTAGGCTTAAATTGAAAAAAGTAGGGAAAAGCACTAGGCCACTCAGGTATGACCTAAATCATATCCCTGATGAATGCACAGTAGAGGTGACAAATAGATTTAAGGAATTAGATCTGATAGACAGAGTGCCTGAAGAACTATGGACAGAGGTTCGCAACATTGTACAAGAGGCAGCAACTAAAACCATCCCAAAGAAAAAGAAATGCAAGCAAGCAAAATGGCTGTCTGAGGAAGCTTTACAATGGAGGCAGTGACAGATTTTATTTTCCTGGGCTCCAAGATCACCACAGACGGGGACTACAGCCAAGAAATTAAAAGACGCTTGCTCCTGGGGAGGAAAGCTATGGCAAAACTAGACAGCATATTAAAAAGCAGAGACATCACCCTGCCAACAAAAGTGTGTATAGTCAAGGCTATGGTTTTCCCAGTTGCAATGTATGGCTGTGAAAGTTGGACCATAACGAAGGTTGTGCGTCGAAGAACTGAAGCCTTTGAATTGTGGTGCTGGAGGAGACTCCTGCGAGTCCCTTGGAGTGCAAGACAATCAAACCGGTCAGTCCTAGAGATCAACCCTGACTGCTCTTTAGAAGACCAGATACTGAAGATGAAACTCAAATACTTTGGCCACTTAATGAGAAGGAATGACTCCCTGGAGAAGAGCCTAATGCTGGGAACAATAGATGGCAAAAGAAGAAGGGGATGGCAGAGAATGAGGTGGCTAGATGGAGTCACAGAAGCAGTTGGTGTGAGCTTAAGTCCTCCATCTGTCCTCCACCATCCGGGGGATGGTGAAGGACAGGAAGGCCTGGAGGAATGTTGACCATGGGGTTGCGATGGGTCAGACACGACTTCACGACTAACAACTACAACAACAATTATTCATTCAGAGATCTCTCTGCGTGTCTGAATGGATCATGAGACAAAGTAATGACCTGCTCCACCCCATCTGCTTGAGCATAGTTTGTGTTCCTACACACTAGTAATAAGTATTCAAAGTCTATACCAAGATAAACTCAAACAGGAAAATGTAACCTAATAACCCTAAGCAACTTAAGACCAACAGTAAACCAACACTATATGTGTGGCATTCTTGGATCCCTAAACCTTCCAGATTAGTTTGGAAGGTGTGCAGGGCATTGCAGGGGAAAGGGATAATTTGAACCATTAATGATGTGCATTTCACAGATGGAAGGATATCACTGTGTATCCTATGTGAATGTACAGTATTTGTAGGTTTAAGCAAGGTTTCAGAGTACTGAAATGACCATAACTTCTACAGACTTTTTCTGGAAATTTTGGAATCTCACCATGCATTGCTCCCATCTTGAAGTTTCTCTTTGCAGTCATAAGGTGAAGTCAAATGCTGGTTTTTAAATGGAAACTAGTATTCTGAACAGTATATACAGGGCAGAATTTGATGCCTCATATAGGCTTCTGCATTAAGCATGAAAAACAGTGGCACTAGGTGTATGCTCACCCACCCACAATGACTATTAGTCTTATCTATTTTAGCCATGTTTTTGGTTTTCCTTTTCACCTTGGGAACCTAAAACATGTTCCGGGTTCTGACAGTCCTGGCTTCCTTCCTTTCTTTGCAATCTGCTTCTTCACTGGCCAAGGGTTCACTTAACTTAGAGTGAAACTGAGGTGAAGATGGTATGCACCTCATCTTTCTTGTGCATGCTCTATATGTGTGGGGTCAGAGCTATATATGGATCCAGGCATGTGGATTTGGGGAAAACATTTGAGAGATGGCTAAAGAAAAGGGGCAGAGATGGTGACAAATAGATTTGGGCAGTGGGAATTTTGCTCTCAGACCAGCTGGGGCCACTTGGTCAAAATCCTTAGATTTACTAAGGATGTGAACTCCACTTTGCTCTACAAGTGCAACAAGGCACGGACCAGAGGGGAACCTGAACGACAGTTTCTCAAGATATCTGAGGGTGTGCAGGCAGTGAACAAATGGGCTCTGCGTGTGTGTGCTCATGCATGTGTGGCACAGAGAGAGCGTGAATGAATGGGAGGGAGTGACTGGGGGGATGCCTATCTCCCACAATGCTTCCTTTTCTGGGCAGGAAGGTCCTAGTTGTTCCTGGCCTTGGGAGCACTGCGGAGTTTTTGGAAGCACAAACCCAGAGGATTGTGTGATGTTCCTTTCCCCCACAGCTCCAGAAAAATCCTAAACCACACACAGTGTCCTTAAATTCAGCTTGATGGTTAAGTTTAAAGTAATATGCAAAGTAGGCTTGCCTAGTATTAGCTTGAGAAAACAGTCAAGCAAGCCCAGGGGCCAGAATTATGCGACCATTCATGTACAGTACCCTGAGTCTCTTGATTCCAGCCCGTGTAATCTGTTGACAGTCATACAATTCTATTCTTTCCAAGCTGTGGCAGCTTTTGAGGTGTTCCAAAGAAGCATCTGTAATCAAAGGGCAGTTGTCCAGCTCGATCACCTCCAGGCGATCATGGGCACAGGCTCCATTGCCCAGATGTCGAATACCATCGTCGGTGATCAGCTCACAGTGTGATAAACTCTGCCAGCAGAAAGGAGAACACAGAAACAGATGGTACTTTTAAGGGGTGCGTTGTGTTGCCATTTCAAGATGTTTGCTCCAACCAGCCTTTTCGGGCAAAGCATGCTACATGCCTGAGCTATCCTCGACCGCAACTCAACTGAGTGATTGTTGGATCAGAGTATTCTAAGTGCTGTGGCTGTGGATACACTGGTACATGGATGCTGTACGTGTACCATGTTGAACCCCCCCCCAACCTTCCTGATACATGTTCACCCAGCCCTAGCCTTTCCTTTCACATCTGTATCATCTTTGTTAGTTGGATTGTAATAGTGATACTTAGCCTTCATTGTGGCTTACGATTGTTCAAGGAGGCTCATATAGTATTTTCTCTGTAACCCTTACAACAATCCCATGAAATCAATATCATTGCATCTACATTGCAGATGGCAGGACTGAAGCTGGGAGATGATGAAAGGCAGAACACTTAGTGAATTGCTAATTTAGATATGCTGCATAGTGGCTGCGGCTGCCTTCATCAGAGCCACAAGCAGGAGCATTTTCTGTTTTGCTTTGGTAATGTTCCTTCATTATTGAGATGTGCAGTTCCTTGGCTGTTTTGATTATGTCCCAAAATTCTATCCTGGCACTGAGAGAACTAGGTTCAAGCTCTCTGGCTTTGAGTAAAACATTCCCAGGTTTTCTTACAAGACTACCCTCCAAGACTCACCAAAACCTGGAGCCGTGGACAGTGTATGGAAAGCTGGATTAATGTGCTGTCTGTTATCTGGAAGAAACCAAAGAGAGACATTTGAGGCTGCAAACACTGCCTGCAATGGGTTTCAAATGATACAACACTGCCTATTTTGCAGTGCTGCTTCTCCAGGACCAACAAAGCAAGAGCTGATATTTCTATCAAAACCTAAAGTAGACCCTCTAGAATGAGACAGATGGCTGCTACAGGAGATCTGATTTTATTTCTGATTCATTTCACAATGGCTGAGTTTACATGTCACAAGAAGCCACGGTCATTTCTTATTGCTAGTGGGCTGCCATGTTGTCAGAACCCACTTGCAGCATTTCAGCACAGTATGCTTTTGGTTTCCTGAAGCCATGAATTGATAAAATGATTTGTAGTGACGTTTAAATGCCTTGCCATAGTTTCTCGTGATGTATGGACCCAGATGCTCCATTTTACCATTGGTGGTGAAGGAATGGCAACAGAAAGGGGCTGCTCCAAGTATCCACACTCTACTATCTACACCTCCCTAGCAACACACATCATCTCTTGCTTTGTTCCTATTGGCTGAATGATGTGTCTGTCCACTCTCTGAAACAGGGAGAAAGCAGGTGAAAGCACGGAAGGAGGAGGGACAAATCAGAGCAAAGGTGTTTATTTTCATTTAATAAAAACACCTCTGGGGCTTAGTGTGTCATGGAAGTGTTACAGAAGTGTTCCCAAGTGTTCTACACTTGGGAGGGGGAATATGGAGAACCTGCCTCAAAATCTCAGCAGACCAATCAAGAAGAGGCAGCTGAGGCTGACAGGGAACAATACAGTACGGTAGAGAATTCTGCTTGCAGAAGCTCCTGGGATGCATGGCAAAAATGGGAGGACAGAGTGGGGAGTGTGGAAACTGTGTGACTCTATGACCAGTAGGTCCAGGGCAAACTCCACAAGCTACAGGAGCCACACAAGTTTGTTTGCCATGACATGCAAACCCAGTAAATGAGAATTTGGCTGGGTGGGAAAACAGAATGCCAAGATTTCAGTGTTATATAACAGAATCTGTGCTTTATTCCTTTTGGTCAGTACCAGTGCTGGAGTATTCCTCAAATAGGTAGAAATAGGCATGGTGCCCTCCATGGGATTCTAGAACAGTGGCATCTGCAAACAGTGTTGGATTAGATGGAATCTTGGTCTGATCCAGTAAGCCACTCCTTATGTTCTTAAGTTAAGAGTACAGAATCATTTAAACACAATTAAAACATTTGAAAAGAGATATTAGGTAAGCACTCCTGGTTTGTTATCGCAAAGGCAGATCATGTTGATTCTTCTAAAAGGAAAAAAAAGGGTTGGCCATTGTGCACTGAAAGTATCCCCTGGCTGCTTTTAAAGGGTAAAGTCAGATTCGCTCCGTTTTTCTTTCGACCTATCCCCTGCTGAGAACAAAGTAGGATTATACTAGTTGTGTCTTAGGAGTTGCTTCCCTGCCTTGAGAAGGGTTCTGAAGATAGTTTCAGAAGTCCTAATGTATACTTTTTTTCCTCTTAGTGAGTGTTTAGGCTATTGCACTGGCAGGATGTTACAGCAGCCAGATTGCTATAACCATATTGCTACAGTCAGGAGCAGCAGTTCTGCACTGCTTCTTCTCTCTCACCAATAAAATGAAAGATTTGCACTCCAGATTCCTCCCTGCTTGCATGATGCAATCAATGAAGTAGAGTGGAGAAATTCTGCACAATGATGTAACATTCTACTTTTCTATCCCCACCTTTACACTTAGTTGAAAAGTTACAGAACAGATTCAGAAAATAGAAGTCTACTTCTATTTCACACAATGGACATTTTTGAACCTAGTTTCCTGGAGATGATGAATGATCAAAGTTTCCCCAAAGCATTACTGGGAAAATGCTGCCATACACGGAAGACATAAATTCCTGTTTTCTAAAATTACAAGACAGCAGAAACACAACTGGCATACATGTTCTGTTTCAGTGCCTGAACTTGTATCCAGATTCACCCTCAAGCAGCTGCATTTATTAATACATTGTGAGCTCTTCAAAACACTTGAGCAATGGTTTATGTTTCTAGTCCATGGTGACATTCTGCATTAAATAATAATCTAAAGAACAGTGCAAAGATAGTATTACAATTACCTGAACACACTCCTCAAGGTCCATTTTTTCTAGCTCATGACAATTCTAGAGAAGATTAAAAGAACAAGACAAAACTCAGCAGAAAATTAAGCAGCAATGTGGTTAAGATAAGATGACTCTATTCTAGCTCCATTTACTTCAATGAGGTCAACAAGTGCATAAAAGTAAGCATTGTTTCCAGGACCAGAGCCATGACCGCAAGGAGATCCATGTCCATACAGTGCAGTCCTCTGTACTAGGCCATTGCAGGGTAAGTTAACTGTTGCTCAATAGAAGCAGAGCTGCATGTGCACTGCTTGACTGACCACTCTACTTGATTTTCTTCCCAAGAAATCCCAACTAGAGTTGAAAGAGAATATTCAGTGTTACGGAAATGTATCTGCTTATACAAACAGTTTCTGCTTTCATGAATATGATTGCTCAGCATAAAATAAGCAGATGAGTCCCTTTTTCTTTAATGGCATCACTCCAGTGAAATACATAGGAAGGTATGCATTAAGATTCAGATCAGCCTTTCCCAATCATGCATTTCTTTTCATCTGTTAAAGCAGAGAGTAGGATATCTTATTTCAACAGAAAAAGAAACATGCAGGAAGGGAATACTGAAGGGACAGATCTAGCTCTAACTCAGGTGTGAGTCGTCAGAGGGCTCAAAGTTAGCTTGCACAGATTTGCCCCTTTGGGCACTCAGTTTTGGCACTGCCATTAAGAAAAGTTTTAAATATTTTTGGCGCTTGTGCAGAGGTGCAGCTGGTGAATGCTTCAGGAGCTACAAATAACTTCTGGATCTCCTGCAGTTTCCCCTCCCCTGTTCTCACCACTTTTCTCTCTTCCCAGCTCACTTCTAGTATTGCAGGAAGGGAGAGAAAGAAATAGCCAGGACAACCAACTGCATGGAGGCAAAGGTCAACTGGTGAAAGGATTCCATACTCCTTTCCTGTACTCTCTGTTGCTTCTCTGTTGAAGCAACATATCACACTCTTTGCTGTATATGGGAATATGGGAGACATGTGGATGGTAGCCTCATCATATTTAATTTGGCCTTTAGGGAACTTTCTTCCCCATTCCTAAGAATGTTGCTGCTACCTCAGTGGTATGTATTTGACTCTGATCTGAACATGTAAGATTGCTATCTGGTTTCTTGTTTCTGCCCTGCCTTCAGTTCCGGAGCAGCAGTCTGGAAGTCTTCAAGATAGCATTGTAGCAGAAGCTGCCGCTTACAAAGCACTGTCCAAGACAGCCAATAAGAGGCCTCCTGGAAGTAAAACCAGCCCTGGAATTCGGTGTATCAGAAACAGATTGCAAGGTCCTGTATCATCCTCAGTAGTCTGAACCCACAAACAACAGTACCTAGGATGCAAACAGCAGAAATCGGAACTTACCCGAGCCAGAGTGGTAAATCCCACATCTGTGAGCTGCGAACACCGAGCTACTTCCAATATTCTGCACAGAAAATAAATCACAAGAGATTAAGAGTCCTTTGCCTTTCAGAGTCCAGTTCTGAAATCTTTCAACATGGTGCATGTGGAAGAGTAACTCCTGGCCAAAATAGCTGAGGATATTTTACATGCTCCTGTTTCATGAGTAACACCAATCCTATCCTACAGTCATGGAAAAAATGAAGAAAGCTCATCATGCCCCCAAAAGCTACACACTTCTATTTTAAGACTCATATTATGCTTCTTAGAATGGCCCCTGAAGTACTTGAAGAGACAAGAAAAATCTTCACCCCTGTTGGCTTGCCTCTCATATTTGAGGAAACCCCTTCAGTTTATCCCTAGTCTCAGAAATCCCTTAATGCTTCCATAGAGTTTCAATTGCTCTAGGTCCCTCTCTGTTAAGCCCTTCTTATCATTTGGGCATGATTCATACTGGGGTTTCTGACCTATGGATGTAGCCTTTGGGGGAAGGAGTGGGGAAGAGAGGGACTCTTACTAATACTTTAATGGGATATTCTATTCTGTGCAATAGCATTTTTAGAAATGGCTTTTAGAAATGGTTGCTCTCATAAACTTATGAGACCGACTAAAAATATAATAGCCAGCTAGCTTTATTTATTCTTTTTTGCCCTTTCCCTTGCATATACCTTTTGATGAGCTTTTGATTCCTCTTGTGTAACTCAGTTTTTACCCAAAATGTATCAGATGTTTGTATTTTAACCCTCTATGTGCCCATGTAGCCATCCAGATAAAACTGACTTACCTAAGCCTTGGACAGTTCTGCCCCAAGGCATTCAAGATGGCATCTGTGATGTTGGAGCAGCCAGAGGCACACAAAGACTGTAGCTTGTGGCACCCTCTACATATTGTAATGAGGCCGTCATCTGTTATTTGCTACAAAAGGAGGGGGTGGTCAACATCATTAGCAGTGAGAAATAGAGTTCTGGGAGGTGCCTTTGGACATCTAACTTCTGCAAATCCTAAAACTGTACATTTAAAAGTGCCTAACCATTCTCAGACCATTGTGACAGTGAAACATTGGATAGCTAACATGTAAAAAAGCAGGATGCAAACCTCACACAGATTCCCAAATTAGTTCCTTTTTGGTCTGAACATTCCATTTTTGGCATCACCACAAACTGGTATAGGTTATTTTGCTGCAGAACAAAAATGTGTTTCCTCTTCCAGTTTTACTTTTTTTTTGTTTACACACATTCACATAGTATTTTTAACACACACAAATTAAGCTTACAGATGAGACCAACCCAGCAGTTCAGCCCAACCCTGTCCTGCAACCAAACTTTGAAAGGCCTCATGAGCAAAAGCAAACCCAAACCAGGTGGACTGGCCATACTAAATGCTAACTTTAGGCTACCTGGGAAAGTTCTTCAACATTCCCTGTATATATTCTCTGTATAATTCTCTGCCAACTTGAGATATTAAAAATATGTGGGGTTGTAGCCACAGATTTGTAAGACACATATTTGCATAAATGTGCAGATTAAGGCCAATTTCCAGTGGAAAGAAACGAAATCACATCCAACATTCTTCCCCGCCTCTCAGTCTCTCTTTCACACACACCCCCCTCTTTCCTCACACCACCAACTAATACATGTACTTACAAGTCCCGTTACCAGACAATACCATCCACCCATGATATCCAGCAACCATAGATCAATACACCCCAGACTCCAACTATGTCACAATCAGAAAGCGGGAAAATGCCCTAAGTACAGAGAAGAAAACTCAGAAAAGTTAGCAATGCCACGTATTGTAGATTGGATCTAGGTTTGTCATACTTAGCAGTAAGCAAATGAAAATAATGAGGCATGAATAAGAGGAAAGGGCATTTGGGCTTAAAAACAAAAACAGAAGGTTTCCCAACAGGTGCACAGCACCTCAAGCCCTAACTAAAGGATGTGAAACAATGCCACTTTTATTTTGCTAGGAAAACAGCCAACTGGTTGAGGAGAGGCAAACACTAACAGCAAACAAAAGAACAAAAGCAGTCATATGAAACAAAGCAACAGAACAAACCTAACAACCAACCAACACAACAGCACCAATGCTGGAAAAAAAGGAACTTTGCTGAGGAGGTCTAACTATTACATTTGGATGTTCGGCAAAAGCAGGCACCTATAAGGGAGTTTCAGTACACCAGCTAGAGAGGAGGGTGGAATACCTTCCAAAAGATACAAAAAAAGAGCAGTTAATGCTAAGAAATGTGCCTTTCTTTTGAAGAGCATTTTGTGATCTACAGGGTGTACCAAAGGAGTCCCTCTTCGGATGGGAAAATGATGTACTGATCAAATGCACCCTGTTCAGGCAACATCTCTTAAAGAAAAGCATCAATCATATAATGCTTGACCAAGGTGTGGAAGTGATCACCCTGTAAATCTCCTGCACCAAGGCACTGCCAAGGAATGCAGCAGCAGTAGCTACTCCTCAGAGAGGAGTTCCCCAGGGATCTGTAGAGCAAAACAATACATGCTCTTAACCACCTAGAAATGTCAGAGGGTGAGACCCTTTTATCAAAGGAACTGTCCTGGTGAGAAGCAAAGACTGTGTCTGCCAGACTGTAGCTGTTCTGTCAAGGCAGAAGTGGAAGACTCTGTGCACTGCCAGTTAATGTCAGCCTTTTTGTGGGGATGGAATGGATTGGGGCAAATGGAAGGCAAAAAACCTTCCACTGCTGATGGAAAGCTGAATTCACCTGAGGCATAAATGAAGGATCTGGCCTACATAGAAAGTTGTTCTGCTGGTTGGGAATCTGATGACAATATATGAGATTCAATATATGTCTGGTTTCTGGATGATGGGTTAAGTTGTTTTAATAAAGTGTTCTTAATCTTTTTATTTATTTTTGCATTTATATGCCATCCCCTACTCCTAATGGGAGCCTTGCTTGCTTGCTTATTTATTTTTAATCTTAATTTTAATCTTAAAAGGAAAAGCAGCCAGGAGTTCAAAGGAAAAAGCTATCAGAGCCTTAAGCACCCAGTTCAGGTTTCATGAGTGAAATCTGTTTACCACTGGAGGATTAATGAGAGCCATCCCCTCAGAAACCTCTTCCCATGGGGATGGCTAGCAAACAACCCTTTCCCTGATGCCCAAGACAGTATTGAAAATATCACCTGGTGCTTGAGTACACTGGTACTGAGCAATCATGCCTGAAAACCCCCAAATCATCAGACAATTCTTCCTCACTTGGCACCATGATTATGTTTTGACTCCAGGAGATTAAGGGCTTCAAAGTGTTAGTTTATATCCTATTAGTTAGTGTAAGTTTACTGAGAGGCCTGGACAATGTTCAGGACCTCTTCTGAACAGCTGAGGTGGCCAAGTCACTGCTGCTCAAGCCTCCAGGTAATCTACTGAAACATTTCCAGTAAAGGAAGCATTAAGGGGTCCAACAAACAGGAAGGTGCTACCTCTCCTGAACCATTAACAAACAGGTTCATCAGGAAAGCCATCAGGAGCATTTCAGTTGCTGAATTTGCTGGATTATTGCGGAAGGTGGACTGCTGTGTGATAGCAATGATTTTCCTTTTAACCCAGGCTCTCCAAAGCTTCTTTTGTTCCTGATTTTGTGCCTCCTTGTTTGGCAGTCACATTGTCCATCCTGGTTAGCATATGATCTTGGCAATGAGGTGCCTGACTGCCAACTGAATGGTTCTTGATCCCAGAACAAAGATTCCTTTGCAGACCATAGGCCCTGGTTGCTCCTCCCACAACAAGTTACGATGACAATTTAGAGTGGACTTGTCAGGCTGACTACTGTAGAGAACCTGTGAATGTGTGGATGGGTGGCAGGTTAGACACTGTTCAAGAGACCTGAAGAGCTTGAAGAAGAAATAACCATAGGTGGGACTTCTGCGCAACTGCCTGTTGATAGAGTAGCAACAAGCTCTGTAGGGTAGGGACTGGACCCAACAGCTTTGCATATGTGCCTCAAGGAGACATGGGAACCAATATGTGGGGGGCAGGGTAAAATGTGTGGGTATCAAGACAATCAGCAAGAATAGAAGAGACACAAGGAAGGAAACCCAGCTGTCTTTTGAAGGGTAGCCAAGGTGAGCCCACTGAACCTGTGTGAACGTAGGCTCCTATCAAACAGGAGGAGGAGGGAATACAAGGCCCAAGAGTTGGCCTCAAATGAAAATATGGGGCAACACAGGATCATGTGGCATTCGAAAGATATGCAGACAGGGAGGGACTTGGTAGCTCACTCTCCTTGAGAAGGGTGAGCCATAGCAACCACGGACAGTTTTCTGACAATTTTCTTTCACAATGCACTAAAGTTTACAAGATGCAAGGCCTGTCTGGAGTTTTTATCTCTTCTGGTTGCAAGAAAATATTGCCTGTAGCCTGAGGCAATGTTTATTTGTATTTTACACAATAAAGAAATTGACTAGAACTATAACTTGACAGCTCAACTAGAAAGAGAGCCAGGTGCAGTTATTGTTGTTATATTACATTACATATTCCATCTTTTCTTTCCTCTTGTGGGGAACCCAAGGTGGCTCACATGGCTCCATTTTATTCTCACAACAACCACCCTGTGAAGATAATTTAGGGTGAGAGTGAATGACTAGTGCAAAGTCATCCCATGAGCCTCATGGTTGACTTGACCTCAGATCTCCCAGGTCTCCTGTCCAAAACTCTCACCATAACACCACACTGCCTCTCCAGAGGGCAAATGACAGGGACTGATTCTATTCCCTCAATGTCCAAGGAGATGACTAGTGTGCCTGGGGCAAAAATTTGTCCCTGGGGCAAAAGGCAATCTCCAGGACGTATACCTTGAACTCAGCCTCATGCAGGCATCCCTGATTGCAGCAAGTTGAGGAGATACCCCTTGATCCTTTGGCCGGGGATCCTGATTTCAGGCTGAGGGAGACTCTTTGGCTGTCTTGAGGAAGGACAAAGCTCCACTTCTACTAGTGGGCTGGTGGAAACCCCTGCTGTTGATCCTGTGGTCCTGCTGGAGGTTCTTGATCCTGTGGTCCTGCTGGAGGTTCTTGCCCTGTGACCACCAGAGAATCTGGTTTGTGTCAAAAGGTGGAAGAATGAAAAAAATCATTGGGACCAGGCATACTGTTCTCCTTTTGATGTGGATAAAGCATCTGTTTTATCCTTTAATCTCAATTAGTGACCCCAAGGGCCTTAAATTTTCAAGCTAGAGAAAACACAACCATCAGACTTCTCAGCCAAAGGTTTCTGCTAGTCACAGAAACCACCCTGGCACTGAACTGCAGCTTAACAACATCTACTGAAGAATTTAAGGAAAGAGAAATCTTGTTGAGCCCAGCCCTGGCAACTTTCAGGATACCTTCCAGACTGCCAATTCCATTGACCAGAGGAAAAAAGGCCCTGGCAAAGAAAAGAAATGGTAACTGAAGCTCTAAAGGCTGTGCCAGGAATTTGGCCAAAGTCTCAAACTCCCAGCACAGCACAGCTTCTATCTTGTTATCAGACAGGTCCTTTTCCTCTGTGCGGATGGTGGTGGAGGAGACTAAGGTGGTCACTGGGGCATCTGTCACAGCCACATGAAGTACATTTAGAACCTCCACTAGCAAAGGAATAAAACTTATTTCCTGCTAGGAAATAAGTCTTGTTTGTTTGTTTGTTTGTTTGGGATATTTCTAACCTGTCCAATCACTATGTGTCTCTGGACAGCTTACAACAATAATTCAATAAATACAACAGTATAAAATATATTAATAACCAAAATAACAATAATAATACTAGTAACACTGATAACCCATGACTGGAATAAAAACATAATTAAAATTTTAAACTTAAAAATACTGGGTAAATAAAAAGGTCTTGACCTGGCACTGGAAAGCATATAATGTTGGTGCCAGGCAGACCTCTCTGGGGAGCACATTCCATAGCCTTACTCTTAGCTCAGCTGGCCCATGCAGCCTTCTGAAATTGAGCCATAAACTCAGGGAAGGGCACAGAGAGCCTTTTAAGAGGGCCCTGAGCAATGTCATCCTTACCCTTTGTTGCACAGGTTGGCAGAAGGGGTGGGAGTCACATTGTCAGGCTTGTCCCTCAACTTTGGTACACAAATTGCTTCACTAAGGAGTGAGGGAAATGCTTCCAATGGAAAAGCCTCCATGGGTTAGATGAGACAGATCTTACCCTGAGGGTTCTCCACTCCCTCCTACTTACCCAATGATTACTTAAAAGCAGACAGAGGCTCTTTTCAGATACTTGGAGTGACCAGAATGATCACTGCTGCCCTGGAACAAGATGGATGCTTGCCTAATGGGGTCCCTTGTGTGCACTGCCATTTTGTAGACTCTTTCTCCTCTAAGGGGGAAGAAGGCACCATGGAATATCCACCGCAGGAAAATGTTGAGGAGAAAAGAGACCTGCATCACTCTTCCTATGGCCTGATCTACAACAGGATAAATGGAAGCATCTTTTTTTCTCCTTATCATGCTTATGATCCACCCTCACCCTGAATGGGATGGAGAGTGACTGGGCCACTTATCTTCGCTCTGAAGGGGCACCAAGCTCCAGATTTCTCATTCTACCCTCTGCTGTACTCAAGTCAACTGAAATGTGCTTGATCCCCACCCAACTCTAAATCCAAGGGTTTGTGTGGGGATAAACGAATTCACCCTTGTAGAAGTCTTTGCTTGGCCTGTTAATCTCTCTGAGGCAACACCTGATGAGCCCTCCTTGCAGCAATACTGCCACCTCTTCTCTCCTCCCCTCCCCATGACTTTGTTGCTCCTGCAGTTTTTCCTGCTAAGACTTCTTGCCTGAAGGCCAGTTAGGATCCAGTGAGATTTTGGCATGCAGGGTGAGAGGTACTGATCCCTGGCAAGAGGTGCAGGGCATTGCCTGTCCAGGTATTCTTTGCACTACCCACAAGTACCCCCCCAAGTAGAGAGAATGAGGCAAAGTGGGGCAGGAACAGTCAAGGGGTATTTCACACTAGAAGCAATTGAGGCCCCATGGCCTGGCTGCCTCAAAATAAGGGGAGGCATTGTAACTTGAACAGGCCTTCTGGCTTCCAGAGAGTAATCAAAGGTTTAAATCCTCAACAGTTACATGTTATAAATTCTACTGCTGGGTCAGCAGGAATTTGGCCCCCAATGTCTTGGGAGTCACTCTCCTCCCTTTGTGATGTATTTTTGGGTGCTCTCAGAAATTATGGCCTCAAGGAGACAGCAGAACTGACCTGTTAATGACTAACATCTGGAGTAAATGGTTGGCCCCAAGGATTGGGAGATGGGCCATCTCTGCACCAGTCACCTGACCAGTGGTGAGGTGGATTAAGGCCAGAGAACAGTGAGGCTTTTGTTTCTCTTCCAGGGTTGATGCCTGCTGACTGTCCTGTGTTGAAGAATGCTGTGATGCTCTGTGTATTGTGACCCTGTCAAAGGTAGAGCTTCTGAGTATAGCTTAGAAAAGGGTTAGCTTTGTTGTTTTGGGTCCAATGGGTTCAACCCCCATGGTGGGTGCTTAGTTGGTAGCAACCTGTACACTTGCTGCTCTCCAACCTCCTTTCCCCTCCTCCTCCTCCCTCCTTTATCCTCTTTCATCCTTTTAGTGGTACTGTTTACGCATCCTCCACCCCTACATTCTACCCTTTTAATACACTTGTTTTGTTCCTCATACTTGGGTTGTTGTGTGCTGAATCCAGTGTCTGTCCAGGTATTGAGGGACCAGGGAATTTCTGGGCAGAATATGTGAATTTGGCCGGGGGAACGAGGAATCCCTGACTGCTTTCTGTTGCAAGCATTGACAGCCAAAGACTGCCTGGACACTCTACGTGCCTACGCATGGGAAAAATCTGGCTGCTCTTCTTACTCCAAGGAAGAAGGAGCACGGGTGGGCCAGTGAGTGGTGGAATGCTTTCTGTGCTCACTGTAAAGAGGAGATGCAATGGCTGGATGCCCCCCTATTAGGGCGTGCGTGGGCAAGGTAGGATTAACCCAGGTGCTCTGCCTGCCATCATGAAGGAGGCATGGGCCCAGTTGCTTCCTGGTTAGGGAGAGTATGGGCATACTCGTGGTGACACATGTGTTGCAAGTCAATACTAGCAAGGAACTCCAAAAAGTCTGCTTCCTCCCAGACAGGAGAGCTGAAACGCCTCTTCACTGGCCAGTCAGTGGTGGTAGGACCTCTGCTTGCACAGTGCTCTAATGGAACCAGCTACACAAGCCCTAACGGCAGCAAAAGGGAGGGAAAGGATGGGAGAGGAGTCGGAAGGAGTAGAAGAGATCTAAAAACCACAGAAAACAAAATAATATTGCTAATGGGATAAAAAGAAAACCTCATTCAGTTGAGTTCACAGAGGTCAGTGTGGACCTTGTTCAGCCAATGATTAGGACTGAACAGCCCTCCCTCTGGAGAGGACAGACAAACGCTGCCCATCTTCTCGTGGACACAGTTAACCTGAAGGTCACAGAATGACCCCCAGAAGAAACGGGAGAAATGCTTCTAAACATGGTCAAAGGTGTTTATCATAGAAGTATAGTTCATACTACTCTCCTTTTAAAGAAGGAACATATGCAAATATATTGGAGGCTGAAGGGAGGCTGAACCAATGAGAAAAGCACCTGCAAGTTTGTTTTCCTACATACATCACCAGATAAGGAAAGAACATGCCAGTCATTACTCCAACTTACCCAATGCCTCTCAATTGTTTCCAAAGAGTATCTACTGCTAATTACTGATATGATGCCATCAATATGAATGGAACTTTACAAGGTTTGAGAGACAAGCCTCTGCCCATAAAAGCTTAACATGTAAAATTTGTCATAAATGGGGCAACAGGGAAAGGTAAAGAAGAGGGAGTCGGGGTAAACAGGGAGGTAAGATGCATATGTACACTTAGTTAATGCAGGACAGGAACATAGGGCTGCCAGATTCACTGAAATTAATCTATGAAAAAAATGGATAGCTCAACCCAAAGGTGCCTGTCTAGTTCAGGATGTATTTATGACATACAATAATGCAAAAAGGAGGAGGCTTAATTCCCCATGGCTGGAGTCTTCAGGACAGGGAATAGTTTTAGCATTCAGCGTAATAGGGTCTCTGAGTATACCTCTTACCTTTCTCCAATAGAGTGGAAGAAAAACAAATGGCTTTATTCAGGGTTAGTATTTCAGTAAAGGCCTTCCACTCCTGAGAATGGCTGGCCTACACTTCTGTGACAAGATCCCTTAGAGATGGAAACCCCCACAGGGATCTTTACAATATATACAGCAGAGTCTACAATGCACCATCTGCCACAAGCAGCAGCATTTTGTTCATCTCTGTAATAGTGCCTCACTCTACTGCAAGTCTGTCTCCTTTTCCCCCTAAACCATTTTGTTAGCTTTACTTGGAGACAGTTGGAAAGGTGGATCAAGGAGGAGAAAGTAACAGATTGCTCTGAGAAACACACAACTTTGCAGCTTTGAGAAAGTCCCCTCCTAATTCCCTTTTCCTATACAAAGGAATATCACTGCTTTTGAAAGACATCAGTGCTTTTGCAGCATCCTGCCCATTCCTAGTCACTCTGCAGACCCATTTGTTTCGAAAGGTGATGCTCAGAAGGAAAAGGTCAAAGAAGGTATAACTGCACGGAGAGGTAAGCAACAACCAATGTCTGCTGATCGCTTCAGCTATAGCCCATTTTCACCCATTCCCATCCCATTACTTGCAAAAGTAAAAGGTGAACAGTGAACTGCTTGAAGTGCATCTCCGTCAAGTCATCACAAAATTCTGAAGATGATGGGAGAACATTCCTTCAGATGCTCTTATATTCCTGTCTCAGAGAAATCTTTAGCTGCAATAATTCAGTTCACAAGTCCTCTGTATGTTATGAAATACAGAAATATTGGATTCTGTGTTGCCAATTGCTTACCAAGCAAGTCTGCAAATTCAAAGTCACCAGTTCAGGACAGTGGGCCCCAATGTACTTGAGAGCTTCATCCTCCAGCTAGAATAAAAGTATGTGCATGTGTGTAAGAGAGAGAAAGAGATAGAGAAAAGAGAGAGAAGTAATTCGTTAAAGAGCATATTCTGAATTTTCTTCTTGTGTGGCAGTATTGCTAAAATTGTATTTAGTATCCATTTTTCTTTCAAAAAGTAAGGGCAGTTTCCTTATTCTCATGCCCAGCACCAGCTAAGAGCTTATGTGGATCCTTGGTACCTCTGCATCGTACCCACTGCAACCGTTGTTTCAAAACTGGCCGCGGTAAAAGAAACTTAGCATGAAGCCCCTTATGGAGGAGTGAAGAATATGTGATTACTAGATTCCTCCCTGCAGCTGTACTGTGGCCCCATGAATACAATATTAGAAACTGCGGTGTAGCAGTCCCAGAATTTATTTGACTGGGTTGTGCACATACTTGGCCTCATTCTGGAGATGTCCGAAATGCTCGTATTGAATAATATGGTTCCAGAAGCAAGGAATGGTGCTTCTAAACCTTACTGACTGAATGTGTAACTTCTAGCACAGGGGTCCTCAAACTTTTTAAACAGGGAGCCAGTTAAAAGGTGCCAGTGATGGGTGCGGGTACGTTCGTGCGGTGAGGTGCCAGCTTGCTCTCAAGGAGATCGTTTTCTCAGAGCGAGTCCAAAACGATCTCTGCACGAGCAAGCCCCTGCCTTGCCTCACCACACGTGCGTGTGTGTGGCATGTCCAAAACCTCTATGGCAGGCTGGATAAATGGGCATGGTGGGCCGGATCCAGCCCGTGGACTGTAGTTTGAGGACCCATGTTCTAGCATAACCACTTACTGGTTTTAGACATACATGCATGCTTTCTTTAAAGGTGGGGGGACTCTCACTTTTCTGATAAAACAGAAAATAAATAATACACATAAATTATTCTTGCTACTAAAAATGTTAGTTTCCTTAACTCAAAGAGAACAGATGGCAAATAACTGATAACAAGGACTTTATTTTCATCAATTTTTCCTTTTAGAACTCCATAAATAAGGGAAAAACTCATGCTATTTTTAAAAGTGATCTGGATTCTAAAATTAAGCTTGCATTTGCTAAACCTCTTACCTATGACTTCTTCCATTATAAATCATATTGATAATTCCTAGGCAAGTTTAAACCGGACTTCCTTCACACACCTCTCCTGCTAAAATGACACACACCAATAGGAGATCTGTATGCAAAAGCATTATTTCATGTGAATGCAGCCATGAGTGTGGATCTGCATTCTCTCATATATGATGCACCTCCCCCAGTGGCCACTGCATTAGCTGGATGAGTCTTTTGAATATCAGGAGCTACCAACTGTAACATGTGGTTAGCTGCCTATTATCAGACCTGGACTGGTTCAGAGCAAAGTTACGTGTACAAGTTTTATACAAAGAGACATACATGTGCAGATGCACACACTGCGTAATTTTAAGGGGGAACTATTTTGGGGGCAATGAAGCATAAAGAGCTATGATTCTGAATCAAGTCTATGCAAAAGATGAAGTAAGGTGCCATCCTGCACTACAGAACATTGGACACCCAGGAAGTTCACCAGATCAGTGGCCAATCTGTTGTTCTTATTTTTAAGATCATAATTTTACGGGAGAATTTTGACCAAATCTGGCAGTGAAGTGTTTTATTTTTATACGTATTTAGTGGAAGGAAGAAATGTTCAAGTGGCCACCAGCCATACATCAATTATGTCGAGTACAGATACATAAAAAATTAAGGCAAATATCCCGTACCAGAGATAATCAAAAGTTGCTATATTAAAAGACCACATATCACAATCTTTATATGGCCAAGAGTTACAAAACATACAGTGCTTTTGTTCTACCCTTCCTTTGTTCAAGAAGAATTGTAGAAACAGATCTCTCTTAATCTTTCAGTAGCTTATGTAAGAACCACCATGCTGGATCAGACCAAAGGTCTATCTTGGCCAGCAGCCTCTTCTCACAGTAGCCAACCAGCTACCTATGGGAAAGTTATAAGACATGAGCGCAATATGACGCCCTCCCACTTGAGCCCCAGGAACATCTTACCTCCGATACTGGAGGCTATCTATAGCCATCATAACTAGTACCTATTGATTACTTTATTTTCAAGGATATAATTATTTTTAAAGTCATCTGAGTTGGTGGTCATCACTACATGTTGTCATAGCAAATATCATAGTCTAACAATGAGCTAAGTGAAGAAAAACTTTCTTTTATCTGTGCTGATTTTCCCAATGTTCAGCTTCATGTGATGAACCCGAGTTCTAGTATCATGAGAGAAGTAATACATCTCCCCATCAACTGTTCCCATATCAGGCCAAACCTTAGCCAGGGTGTGTAGTGGTTAGAAGTGCGGGTCTGGGATTCAGGTGTTCTGGGTTCTAGTTCCTACTCAGCCATGGAGCCAACTGGGTGACTTTGGGCCAGTCACAGACTCAGCCCAACCTGCCACACAGGATAGTTCTTGTGGTGATAACACTGAAAGCAGCAGGAAGAGAATGATGTAAGCTGCTTTGAGTTCTTTGTAAGAAAAAAAGGTGGGGTATACATCTAATAAATAAATAAAATACAATGTATAATTTTGTCATTTTTATTGTGTCTTCCCATACACACAATTTTTCTAGGTTAAAAAATCCCCAATATTGGAATGTTTCCTAATAATGCAGTTGCTCCACTGCTTGATGATTCTGGTTGCCTTTTTCTGCACCTTTGCCAGCTCTGTATTTTATCTTCTGAGGTGCAGTGAATAGAACTTAGATAGTACTCCAAGTGAGGTTGAGCAATAGATTTGCATAACATCAGTACAATATCGGCAATTTTATTTTCCATTCCTTTTCTAATTTTGCTCAACAAGGAACTTGCCTTTTTCATAGCAGCTGCATACTGGTTTGACTTTTATTTTATTTATCAAGTTATTCATCACAACAGCAAAGACACCTTTCTTGGACATTCACAAGCTTAGATCCTACCAGCATATAAATGAGAATGGGATTTTTGCACCCACATGCCTCACTTCACAGAGAATTGCATGTGCCATTTCATGCCCATTCTTCTAATCTGGAGAGTGATCTGAACCCCTTTTTATTATGGACAGATCTGGGCAGCTCTGGAGCACCATCTGGTGGCTGGAACCAGAACAGCCACTGCAGTAATTGCAGAATGGATCCCAGGACCTGCTGGACCTCTCAGCCTCCTGATGAGCATCGGCTGGAAGACCTGAAGGACAGGCCACATAGCAGCACATGTTTTGCTCCTGGGGCTGCTTCAGTGATAAAGGTTTTTCTGTTTGCTGCAATGTGTTCTAGTTCCTGCATCTTACTTAACTAAGCTCCTGTCTTGCCTGCCACACCTTCTGCCACTTGTGAAACTCACCTGATTTATCTTGCCTCAGGTATCTGTTCCTGCTCTTGTCTGAATTGCTACCATGTTCTGCTTGTTTTCCCTGTTCCGAATCATTGGCTCAATCATGACCATGCCCTTCTCTTGTTCTGGTACAGTCTCCTAGTTCTGGATTTTGGCCCATTTCTTCACTACAACTCTGTGCCAACCCAGCTAACACACTTTGGATAGTGTTTACACCCTGCTATGAGGCACTAAGACCTGGGTATGGGTCCTGTTACCTGGGTCTGAGTGCCTCTGCCAAGTCTCCAATTGCTCGTTCCCTGGACTTCTAACTCAGCCTAAATGGTTTGGTGTCCTTAGCAAACTAGGCCACATCACTGCTTGCTTCTAATGCCACATCATTTATGAGCAAGTTAAAAAGCACGAGTTCCACAACAGAGGCCCTACTGCTTGCATCCTGCCACTGTGAGAAATTACCATTTACTCCCACTCTCCAGTGTAGTGTGATGATGTGATTAAGAGAAGAAACTGTGACTAACAGATTTTCTTTTGTATTGGATGGGCAGACAACAAATCAATCCCATACAAAAGAAAATAATGGATTTCCTTCTCTCTAGAGTGTTGTTCTCCATCTTGTTTCCAATGACACATGCTCATCTTGCCTTTCTTCTACTTTAAACAAATCATATTTAGTCAACCTTTCCTGCAAGTGTTGTGTTTTCAACAGAGACCATACCTGTGTGCAGCCTTTAAGAAAAAGAGCCTTGAGTCCACCACAACCTCTCACCAAAGCCTGGATGCCATCTTTTGTCACCTGGTCACACCATGAGATATTGAGCTGTTCCAGCAGAGGACACCCCTCACTTGAGAGGTAAAGAGGGGTGACAGAGAAAGAAAGCAAACAGAGATTTAACTCTGAGGATAACTGTCTTGCTTCAACAACAAATACATTTTGTTCTTCTTTCTATCATCTATCAGTCCAGCTACTCCTTATTCTAGCTGAAACAACTCGGCTGGGTGGGTGGCTAAAGCAGTCACGTGGAAACACTGTTGGCAGAAAGGGACTTTCATGCTTACGAAATGCTTACGATATGCATTATGTACAGAGATCAGTGCTTCAAAAGAGCCTGACCAATGCTGGAGGTAGACGAGGAGAAAGCAGGCATGGGAAACAACAGGGTGACAAGGAGTATCTCCCAGCTGAGTTAATGCTAAGATTGGTGTGAATACCTCTGTGGCATCCCCACTGCAAGTGTTTTTAATCATGCCTAGTAACTAATCAGAAGGCCAGTTTTTTTCTCCTACTAAGGATGCTCTCTGGGAGGTTAATGAAAAATCACTGTATATCTAGTGTGTCTGGAGCTAGATCAATTGGGAAGAGCAAGGGGCCTCTTCCCCAAAGATCCAGTTTTGGGCAGCTCCTCTACTGTCACTGAGTTGCCCAAAACATTGAGAGGAAGTGTCCATCGCAAAAGCACGTGGCCTTATGAAGAGTCATACTCACCTCAGTGCTTTAAGGGAAAGGTTGGTTATTGAAGTGCAGGAAGCCAGATCCAGATGCCGTAGTTTAGAGCAGAACTTACTAAGGCTAGTACATGTGCTGGAAGAGAAAACACACACAGCTTCATTGCTCTAATACTTTAATTTTTTAAGCAAAAAGTAGAATTACGAGTGCTACTAGACGGAGGACTCTTAATGCTATCTATCATAAGCATTGTTCAGGCATTGTAAGGAACCATGCATCTGACTACTATTTCTGTATTGATGCTTAGTTTTTAAAATGTTGAAATGAAGTGGTCACATCTCCCACACCCCACTCTGTGGTGAGATGTGCATGATTCTAATGCAAGGAAAGTCTATACTTCTCCCCAGGGAAAATGATAAAAGTTATATTTAGGATAGTATGGAGACATGCAGAGAACGAGAGGCATGAAGCATCCCATATCATGCAAAGCCACTCTCAAGGGACTAGAAATCTTTTAAAAACACAGAGATTATCAAGATACTGTTGAATCTGGTTTCTAATTTTTAAAGTTACATTGTTTAGACCTTGTGCTGCATAGTTACATTGAAACAATGTGTATTAACAATCAGTGAGGCTACATTTCAGAGTGTATATATGGGGGAGTTCTGCACCACTGGTCTATTCACGCCATGTGACATCACTGCTCAGCCTCTGATACCTTGCCTATCTGAAATATACATAAGAGTCCGCTGCAGGTTGAGTGAAGACTACATAAGTCCTCCTGCGGAGAACAGGAATTGATGCTGAAGCCCTTTGACTGTTTTCCCCTAAGGTCCCTTGACTCACCTTTCCAATCAAGTTCAAGTTTATTTTATGAAAAGCCTTTCTATCCCGTCCCCTACAGAATGTCTCGGGACGTTCCCTATATGAATATACTCTTATATTTGAATAATTTAGAAAGAATAAAATCAGACAACCAAGGAAAGCATGTTTATATCTGCCTCCTACACTGACCATTGATTTCAAGAAAGCTTTGGCTAAGTGGGTAACTCACTGTACCTTTAAAAGCTAATTAAATATTCCAGAGCTCCAAAATAAACATTACTTACGCGTCTGTAATCTTGGTGCAGCCATTTAGATTCAACATTTCAATATTTCTGCAGTTCTGTGCAAATGTCCTTTACAGCAATGAAAAAAGTAAAGCATTATTCAGACTTTTAAAAGCATATATTTTATATCAATAGCCTCTAACTTTTCAAACATATCACTCAAACTTGCTGAATCCAACTGCTTTTTTAAAATAATTCTTCAATAAAGGTTCAAAACAGAAAAATCCAGGAAATACACATGTTAAATGCTACATTAGGTCTAGGGAGACCTGGGTTCAAGTCCCTGCTTAACCATAAAGCTCACTGGGTAAGCATTGGTCCTCCATGACCCATCCTACCTTGCAGGGTTTGTCAAGGGATAAAATGAATCTTCTTTGGAGGAAGATTCCTGTTAAGTCATGGCTAAGCCGTGAAACCTAAACTGAGCATGTATATGCATGCATGGTAATGGATGGTGGCTCCTGCTTCTCACTCCTGGCTGGTAAAATTATCTCAATCAATTGGGGATGACTGATGATCCATGCTTACCCCCAAGATACTGAAGCCCTGTTTAGAAACTAAGTGGCTGCTGCAAAACCATGAAGAAGTTTCTCTCTTTACCCTTTTTACCCTGTTGCTTCCAAATAAAAACCACCACCAGATACACTGAAGGTAAACACCTATGCACAACAACTTCTAGCAGGGTGTGCTGAGGGGGAAGCAAGGCAATTCTCCCAGCCCTGCCTCTGTGTTCTTCCTCCTTTGACCGGCATCTCCAGCTGCCATTCTAGCAGGCCGAGGAAAGGGAGATGAAAGGGGGAAGTAGAGCCATTCCACTACAGCTGCTGAAGGACTTGATTGCTTCCCTCTTCCCTCCTTATTCTCTTTTTCTTCTCTGTCATGACTTCACAGATTGTACGCCTGTAGGTAGGGACCATATTTTACGGATTATCTGTAAGCCACTCCAAGAGATTTTGTGGTTGAGAAGCAGGAAAAAAAATACTCTAAACTTATCAATAAGTAGCTACAGAAAAAACAACTTAGGTAAGTCATGGTCAGACTGACTTTTCCAAGGATTTAGAGATAAGGTCCTTTTTATATGTTACCTGCAGCAATGCTAGTCTCCAATAGTTAGTAACAAACCTGCTAATGGGGCAGGTGTTACTAGACAGGTGTTGCATGTAATCATATCACTCATCCAAAACAATAAGATGCAATTATTTACAGATGAACCTCAACTTTCACAGATTTAATTATTTGCGAGTTTGCCGTCAATAACTAAATGGGAAACTTTTGTCTTCACAGGCAGCCACACGGAGAGCGATCCCCTTCCTGGCTGCTGCTGCTGGCCTGGAATAGCACACTGCCCCCTGGGAAGGGCAGGTGGTGGACTCAGGACCAAGCATGCGGCAGCTTGTGATGTGACACAGGATGAGCTCCTCTGGAGCAGGCTGAGCACCGGTGTGTGGGGACTTGTTTTAAGCTAAAGGTTATTCAAATTGCAAAAGAGATAACTATAATGCAGCTACCAATACACGTGTGGTGAACAGTATTAAATATTAAGGTGGGAAGGGCTAGAGTTATTTGAGGTTTATCTACTTTTGTGGGGGTCCTGCACCCCTAACGCCCATGAATGTGGAGGGCTGACTCTACTCTGCTAGGAGCAGTGAAGCTACAGGCCAGCAGGAACAATGCCATGCTAGATACTGTATGACATAAATTGGAATTTGAATCCATGTGGAGGGAGACCTGTAGCAAGATGTTGCAATGTATCCCCATCCTCATCCCCTAACTCGAGTGCTGAAAGTTAGGTCTCCTACAAGAATGAAGCCTTATAACACTTTTTTCGCTCAGAATTGGGAATGGTTATCAAGAGGAGGATAATGAAAAAAGCCTTTACCATTCTCGTATTCCTAAACCTTTTCCCTATTATGCTACAACAGAGTACTAAATGGCTTATGTTTGGGTTTGGCTGCCATCCTTTAACCTAAAAGTTTTATTATTATATAGTTGGGGTAGAAAGAATTTGGACAATGGGAAATAGAAAGGAGGACATCTTTTTCTCCTCCCTCCTGAAACATTCCTATGTAGTATCAGGAAAATGACATGGACCATTAGGAAATGGACCGTAATCCTTATTTCTAGGAAAGTATAAGTGGCTGGGCCCAACTACACTGGGAGTTGAGGTGGCAATTACAGGGAAATTGCCTCCCTCCCAGACATTTCCCCTTTTCAATGGACATACTTAATATTCTGTATCATCTGCAAGTTGTTACTAATAGCTGCTTGTTAGAACATTTGGGAGGCTTTAAAAACATATTTCTTTTTATTTACAAACTAATATATCCACCACCCACCCATGCTCCATTTCTCCACTGAATGTAAAAATAGCTTGTGTTGTGTTTTTTCAGTGTCAAACCACTTGGTCTCTTTACCTTAATGCATTGTCTCCCACACCTTGACATCCACGTAGACTCAGCTTTCGCAAGAAACCCCCACATCTTTTAGAAATATTCTCTACTACACGCCCCTGTACAAAGACCAAGAGAAATAATTTGACACGATCATCTAAATTAATTAGTTTTAACTCTCCATACAGCAAGCAACTTTGTCATTTGTTTGGAAGAAATAGCCCTTTCCCCTCCTTAACCCCCTCCTCCCCTAATCCATATTATTGTTCATTGCAAATAATTGTCCTATTTTAAATCGTGCATTTTAACTTTATATTCCTGAGCTTCATCTTCTGTTGAATACCTAGCACCTACTTGATTCACACACAGTTGAATCTCAGGCCAGTTCATAAAACCCCTTTTCGGCTACCCAGGTTCCTTTTTGCATGTGAGAAACTATCACCAGAATGGTCCCATTCCAGAACCAAATCATAATCTGGAATGCCATCAGTCCACCCACCTTCAGTCAGGGTTGTTGCTGTGGTATACTTTTTTTCCAGTTTAGGTTGGAAAAGACAGCCTACAGAAAATTACCTTACTTAGCAGAATCTGGGTTGACAAGAACTATGACAGCCATGCATTTTAGGGTAATGGGATTATATTTGGGGAGGCTCCAAAACTTCTTTTAATTTATAAAAAGTTGGAAATGCTGATATAAACAATATTGGTATCCCACTTTAAAAGCTAATGCCAAAAGATGCTAGGTCATATGCAGTGGCGTGGACATTCTGGAGTGCTAGGAAGGGGAAATTAATTAATTTGGCCAGAGACACCAATCAAATAAGTTCTTCCACATCAATGAAGGGCAAAATTTAGTTTAGTGCTTTTCAAATGACAGCTTTTCCAGTACATTTGCCCCACCCCTGAGGTTTGTCCTCACAGCAACAGTTATCACAGAGAACTGGTTTTGTGTCGCCAGAAATGGCCCAAGGCATTTTGATACCCAAGAGGAGAATCCAAATTGCTCCCTTCACAAATGGCGCTAGAAATATAAACCAAATAATTGTCAGTGTGCTGCCCTTAGTAGTACCTCAGACCCTATGCTTGAAGCAGTCAAGGCAGGGCAAAGCTTAACTTAAAGGTGGTAAGTAGCTGGCCAATGAACTAATGGTCCAGATCTACTAAAACAGAATTCAAACTGTCCCCCAAAGGATCTTTTCATGGCAACTGTTGGCTAGTTAAGGATTCCTCTCTTTGTACACAGATGAGAGTGCACACATCCATGCAGAGATACACAAAACAGCATACTTTTAAAATCTGAGCCACTGCTACAGCTTTAAGGGCGTCCTGGAAATAAGGACTAAAAATTAATTTTTTCTTTCTCTGGAGAGAGCAGAAACATTACATTATTTGTTATTGCACTAATTACAGTTCAACTAGAGAAATGCTTCCACATATTGCTTAATTATACCTCAATGTCCCTTTGGAAATCAAACAGGTCAATACGCTGCCAGTTGCTACCATCCAGGGCCAAGACATTCCATGCCTGTATTGAAAAGGTAGAAGACAGAGAAAACAATGTTAACTATATTGTCATATATGGGGAACACAGAAAGCTGGTGAGCTCTTTGGTCTGATTTAAACTCATACCAAAGCAGCTGCTCACACTGGTGTCTCCCTGGTGACATACAGTACTACCAGTGGGCTTCTTATACAAGATTCAGCAGAACACTGTGAAAAAGCCCTAACCATATCATCAGTTATTTTTAGAGAATACTTAAATCAGACCACTGTTGCCATTTGTTCTTCCTAATATTTAAACATTTAGTAGCAAAGACATTAGAAAGGAACGTGCACTAACAGACCCCTGGATCTTGCAACTCTTCCCAAACTTGAAAGTCCTTGAAAGCTCAGCTCTATGCCTTTCTTTCCTCTATGTCATGTTATGTTGCTTCAGTTGAGATGTCAGCATCATTTAAAGTCCAGACTGGCAAACTGGCAAGCATGCCCAGATGCAAAGGAAGGTACATCTCTTTTCTCCAATGCCCTAACTCAATCCACAGACATGGGTACATCTGCAATTCAGTTTAACTCATCTTGTGAATAAACAGCAGTGGGTTGGTTGTTCACAGAACAACCCATGATGAGCCAGCAATTGAACTCACTGTGGGTTGTTCCTTTCCACTTCTTCCTCAGTCCTCCAGCAAGTAAACCAAGAAATTTGGTGGAGAAGCCACCTTCTCTTCACTCCCTGCTGTGATTGTGAGCCCTGGATCATTTGTTGAAGCTTTTTTCCCTTCCTCACTTCTCAAAGATCACCTTTCATGATCTCTGAATTGACAGCCAATGACATGTCTTCCAAAGTATCCAGGAGCACACTGGAGAGACTGTCACTGGTTCACCACCCACCTCTTAAAATAAATTTGAGCACAATAAATAGTTGCAAATCTTCAATAACGTCTTTTAAATGTTTTTTACTTAGACTTGTGCAAGTGTGGAGGTGTGCACTTGCAGTACTCCAAAATAAGAAGTCTTGCAGGAACAATCTTTAAGAGAGGCTGCAGTGACCGCCAGACACTAATGCAGAAATACTGATTTTTTAGCTTTCTGCCCTCTTGACAGCTGTCAAAAATGTGAGCAATCAAGAGAAAGCAAAGCTGCAAGTGACTTTTATTTGCAAAAAGGGGGTGACCAGCAGGTACCACACCCCTCCCTTTGCAGCAAGCTCCACTACTTTTGGGAGTCATCTATTCTCAGTGTCCTGACTTTTTTTCACCTTTCCTCAGGCTCTAGGTACTCAGGAAGGTAGAAAAGTACAAGCCACTCATTAATGAGAGCATGGAGTTGTCAAAGCTCAGGGTTCCTTGCATTAATAGGTTTTTGACATGGTTAATCAATATGTCTTCAGAGGGACATAGACATATGCATATACAGGTGAGTATTTACACAGAATACCTGCTGCATTTTGACAGCAGATACCTCCTACAACATTGCTGAGGAAAGAGTTCTCAAGTGCACAAGTCAAACTACAAAAATGTCAATTGTTAATGGAAGATGTGAGCACTTGGAAAACAAGGTGGCAAACCAGTAATTGCACCTCCAATCTGCCGCTTGGGCACTTTGGAAAGGGCTGTTAGTTGCTGTCAACTTGAAGGTTGCAAAAGAGATTTCTGAAAAATTGGGGAGGGGGCTGTGGCAAGTGTTAAAAGGCTTGTAATTGCAGCAGGGGACTCTGAGCAATTGACAATCATTCCACCATGCCATTTGGGTGTTGGTGGGGCAGCTGGCACTGGTAGTGACCTAGGTGAACTCAGTAAAAGCTGCAAGAGAATACTGTTATTCTTGCTGAGCTGTTCACTAGCCACTTCCCACAACCCATGATGGGTTTAGACTCAGCACCATGACAACTCATTGCAGGTCTAACAACTCCTACAACAAACCACTCGTTGTTAGGGGGTCTTGTTGCCCACAGACAAGCCTCTCTGCAGGAAGCAGTCCAGGACTGAATGACACAACAACCCACTGTGGTTTGTCACCCACAATGAGTGATCTGTTGTGCAAACCCAGCTGCAGTTTTCCAATCAGTAAAGATGGGAGTTATCCATCACAGCCTGATCATTTTCGTGAACAGTCACAGACAGATGAGATGTCAGCAATGAATATTTTGGCCTACTGTGCGTGAGTGTGCCTATGTACACCCAATAACAATGTGCTAGAGAGCGAACCAGTGAATGCACAATCACTTTCTCTGCCCTGACCATCATGAATTGTGGCAACTGTGCTACCTCCTCTGTCCCCTGGATGCATAACACATTCAGCACTCCACCCCAACAAGAATTCCTTTTTAAAAGTGCCTTTGTCTATTTGGTGCCTCCCAGATGTTTTTGAATGTGACTCCAAGGACTGCATGCTCGCTGGAGCTGTTGGGAGCTCAAAACATATGTAGGGCACCAGGTTTGGGAAAGTTACGCAGGTTGTATGAGAAGTCTGAATTTTAAAAAATCAGGCTTAAAGATGTTCTCAGGGACTGATCTTTAGCTTTATACAGTATATCACAGAAGTGAGTATACCCCTCACATTTTGTAAATATTTTATCTTTTCAGGTGACAACCCTGAAGAAATGACACTTTGTTACAATGTAAAGTAGTGAATATACAGCTTAGCTTGTTTAGCAGTGTAAATTTGCTGTCCCCTCAAAATAACTCAACACACAGCCATTAATGTCTAAACCGCTGGCAACAAAAGTGAGTACACCCCTAAGTGAAACTGTCCAAATTGGGCATTATTAGCCATTTTCCCTCCCTGGTGTCATGTGACTCGTTAGTATTACAAGGTCTCAGGTGTGAATGGGGAGCAGGTGTGTTAAATTTGGTATTATCACTCTCACTCTTTCATACTGGTCACTGGAAGTTCAACATGGCACCTCATGGCAAAGAACTCTCTGAGGATCTGAAAAAAAGAATTGTTGCTCTACATAAAGACGGCCTAGGCTATAAGAAGACTGCCAAGACCCTGAAACTGAGCTGCAGCACGGTGGCCAAGACCAGACAGCGGTTTAACAGGACAGGTTTCACTCAGAACAGGCCTCGCCATGGTCGACCAAAGAAGTTGAGTGCACGTGCTCAGCATCATATCCAGAGGCCGGCTTTGGGAAATAGACGTATGAGTGCTGCCAGCACTGCTGCAGGGGTTAAAGGGGTGGTGGGTCAGCCTGTCAGTGCTCAGACCATACACTGCACACGGCATCAAATTGAAGGGCTGTCGTCCCAAAAGGAAGCCTCTTCTAAAGATGATGCACCAGAAAGCCCACAAACAGTTTGCTGAAGACAAGCAGACTAAGGACATGGATTAGTGGAACCATGTCCTGTGGTCTGATGAGACCAAGATAAACTTATTTGGTTCAGATGGTGTCAAGCGTGTGTGGCGACAACCAGGTGAGGAGTACAAAGACAAGTGTGTCTTGCCTACAGTCAAGCGTGGTGAGAGTGTCATGGTCTGGGGCTGCATGAGTGCTGCCGGCACTGGGGAGCTACAGTTCATTGAGGGAACCATGAATGCCAACATGTACTGTGACACACTGAAGCAGAGCATGATCCCCTCCCTTCGGAGACTGGGCCGCAGGGCAGTATTCCAACATGATAACGACCCCAAACACACCTCCAAGACGACCACTGCCTTGCTAAAGAAGCTGAGGGTAAAGGTGATGGACTGGCCAAGCATGTCTCCAGACCTAAACCCTATCGAGCATCTGTGGGGCATCCTGAAACGGAAGGTGGAGGAGCGCAAGGTCTCTAACATCCACCAGCTCCGTGATGTCGTCATGGAGGAGTGGAAGAGGACTCCAGTGGCAACCTGTGAAGCCCTGGTGAGCTCCATGTCCAAGAGGGTTAAGGCAATGCTGGAAAATAATGGTGGCCACACAAAATATTGACACTTTGGGCCCAATTTGGACAGTTTCACTTAGGGGTGTACTCACTTTTGTTGTCAGTGGCTGCTGGAACCAGGTATCAGTTTGCAATGTACTTTTAATAATGAAGGTTAACTAGGTTGTCTGTAAACCATCCTGAGATGTCTAAGTATGGGATGGTACAGAAAAGTTTTAAATAGATGGATGGGTGGATGGAGTATTGCTTTTTTGACCTAGTGCAGGGGTACACAATCTACATCCAACAGTGTGGCCCATGAAGCCACGGAAACCCAAACCCACTGCTAGCCTTGGTTTAGTGGTAGCCTGTGCCCCAAATCTAGACTAGTTTAAAATCCACAAATATCAAAACATTTAGATGCAATAATCTGGCTGGCTTAAAACTTAAAGGGACCTCACCTAAAGGGGAATGTCAGCTTCTGGAATTATAGAAATAACATTATTATTATTATTATTATTATTATTGGAATAATAATAATGGTAACCACGGAAAAGCATGCATTCATGTGGAAATACCACCTGAAGCTGTCATTTTCCTGACTCTGACATGAGATGACAAACTAGAAGTGTCTAAGTTGCAAGCAGTTAAGCCTTACCAGTACTGGTATGGAAACATTCTTACCCTGGAGACTTGAGCACAACGGCACAGGGTGACCACATCCAGGAAGGAGAATATTCTGTTAACAAACATACACATTCAAATAACTAAAAGCAGGAACTTTTACACAGAGTATTCTCCCAAATTGTTACCAGCAACTGACTTAAAGAGAAGGCTCTCAGGAGTCTGAGCTACAAATAAACAACTCACTATCCTGTTTAAAATGAGCCAATTTAATTCTATTACACTATTTATTTTGTAATTCAGAAACTTATACCCTGTCCTTCCAGTGCCTGTACAGCATTCACAGTAGCTAATGATGTAAAATCACAATGAAGTATAAAAATAATTCAGTAAATACAGAGACAATAATATATAGTGAGAGAAACTACAAATAAAACCTTCATTACAACTTATACAATTAAGTTTAATATTTAAGAATTCAAGTGTCTTTGGCTTTTGTTGTGAATCCCAGGGATAGACCAACTGGGGACACATTTGTTAAAAATGAACATTAAATTTAAAAAAACAGGCCAACAAAATTAACAGAAAAATTATAAAAAAATTATAATTATATCAAATTATAATTATATAACTATATCAATAATTATATCAAATATCACATAGCAACAGTAGAACGTGAAATAAGTTAGGGTTAAAGCACAGTGGTCTTAAACAGAAGGAGAAAGACAGTAAAACTCTATATTCATCCCACATAAGATTTGGGAAGCAAGGAACCCTCACTCCCCCTCTGATTAGCAGATAACACTATGAGACAATTAAAGGTAGTCCATCTAGATTAGAGGGAGGAATCATAGGCCCAGCGCCGAACTGGAGATTCCTGCAATCCCAAGTTAGTATCTGGGTTTCAGATAAAGGTCATGCCTGTGCCCACTGGCTCCACTCCCTTTCCCCCAACAACTGAGTTATGGTTTGCCAGATTCTCTGCAATTTTACCCCATGCTGAAATGTTGAAAAAAGGCTGTTATTGGCAGTAAAAACTTAATTACATGAATTAAATTAATTTATGTCAGTATTTTTTGTATTTGCGTCCTTGCCCTCTTGCCTTTGACCTGATCTACCACTGGAATGCACCCAAAAGCTTCTCTAAAACTGAACACAGGCTGAAAGAGATTTCCCGTCCCTAACAGAGATCTAGGCTTTGCTGACTATTTGACTATCAGCAAGGAGCTATGCAGATCCTTGATGTCTCACCTTCAACCAGCTCTATCCTGACTTGTGAGTTTTCAAAAGGAATTACCTGATAACAAATTAATCTATACAGCATTAGACCCAGTGGTACAAGCTTTTGTTTTAACTCAAAGTAGCTATTTTCAGAACGCTAAATTCTGCAGCAAGTACAACCCTCTGCACTTTTCCCTGTATTTCTGCACCTCAACAGCCCTTGCTTTAGTTTCTATAGCATATGAACAGTCATTTCCTTTCTTGCTGCAACAGACCACAGCTGCAACACTTTTGTAATTTATTATATATATTGTGATTTATATCCTGCCTTTTTCCTACAAAGGGTTCAAGGCAGCTTACATCATTCTCCTCCTCCATCTTATCCCCACAACAACAACCCTGTGAGGTAGGTTGGGCTGAGAGTCTGTGACTGGCCCAAAGTCACCCAGTTGGCTCCATGGCTGAGCGGGGACTTGAACCCAGATCCTCTGAGTCCCAATCCCATGCTCTTAACCACTACACCACACAAGCTCCTGCTGATATAGTTATGCTTGGGATTTTCCCTTCTTTTGGCCGTAAGTGCACTTAAATGCTGTGAAGCTAACCTATATTCCATCCTTAGAAAAGCACTAACAAGAAAATAACCCTGTAAAAGTAAAAAAAGGATGTTCCCTACTTATAAATGCATTCCCTGTGTCCTGAAGTGGATATTATAGGCTTAATTAGCACTGTAGTTTCCAGGGTAGACAGAATTCTGTTGGATAAGAAACCTCTACAAATTTTCCTGTACTTGCAGGACTAAAAGCAGCACTAAACATTGACTAAAAACTCAGTAAGAACACTTTTTTAAGCACAGAAACACTTAAGAAACTTCGCAGGCATTGTTTAGTGGTAGGTCCAAGAAGGGCAATGAATTGATGATACAACTTCTCTTTGCCTACTTGAACCATAGAGAAATTAACTTACAATTAGACAACATTCTTCCATCTCTAAGCTAAAAAAGGATTCTATGGATCCCTTGAACCTGCCAAAACCATTACATATTTACATTAGTCTATTTTGTTTTTTTCAAAATGTTCTCCACACACACTTTCCCTAAAGATCCCTTCTCACCGTCAGAAAGTTAGTCAAGTGCTGAAAATTACCTCTTATTTTCTATTTTCAGTAATGATATATTTTGTTGTGTTTGCTTTTTGAAGTGATCTGTATTCAAGCTTTCAATTTACACAGAATTTGATTTGGATAAATGCAGTACAGCTGGTTTTAGATTTCTGCTGAAGCCTAGGCATGAACATTGGGTTGGATCTAGAACTGGTCATATTTGTTATAAATCCCATTGCTTTCAGCATGTTTAAGTTACCATGAATGACTATATGAAAATAGGACTAAATCTGAAATTGATAGCATGTAGTGTGGCCTTCAACAACCTGGTCCCTCAGATGCTTTGGACCAACTCCCATCAGGCTCTGCAAGCATTGCCAACAGTCAGCATTCCTTGGAATTTAAGCTCTAAACATTCAGAGAGTACCTGATTAGGGAAGGCTAATCTAAAAGTAATGCAAGACCATTTGTACTGAATTATTTTTCCAGTTAATTTAAATGTTTTTAATATAGTAAACAGTCTGTATACAAATCTATATACCTTCCTTTCATGGAGCAACTTGCTGCTCTCCAGATGTGCTGACTACAACTTCCATCAGCCCTAGTCAGCATAGCCAATGTAAGGGACAATGGGAGCTATAGACCAAAAGATCTAGAGGATCTAGACAGAAAGTGCTCTCTGATTATTAGCTGCATGTTCCCAAATCAGAACAGCAAAGGCACATTCTTGGGTCTTATCCAAATCTCCCTCCCTGTCATGTATAGCATTCCTAGAGGCAGAATTATGGTTTGGGGTGACACAGCATGAAGTTGTAAGCTGTCCACAGACTTTTAGTATTGGGATGGCATATAAAAACTTTAAATAAATAAATACATTGAGAAATCTCTTTTCTTTTTCCTTTCTTATTCCTCAGAAACATTTTCATCCCTTCTCCACACTATACATGTTCCCATTAGGAAGCCAGCCTTGACCATTTAGAACTTTACGGCAGTGCATGGGAAGGTTTCATGAGTGTGGCAAACCTGAAACCTTTCTTTGAGAGCTCTCAAGAGCTGTACAGGTCTCCTGTATCCACTTAACTAGCATGGTATCCCTCAAAGATGACTAGGAAACGTTTGATGAAATTCAGGAAATTGTGTCACTATCTCACATTAAAATGTAGTTCTTCGATACTTCTGGGAAAAGAAAATAATTTAGTTAAGTCTATAGTATGGATATGCTTCCATGTTTGTTCCTCACACGTGTACTTGCTTGTACAGCAGACTTACCAATGTTCAAGTACAATTATCTTTTATACATCTTGCAAAAATTTTTTATATAAGCCAACATTAGTTGGCATGGGAGCTGAATTGTATTACTTGGTGGATCAATTTAAGATTTAATGTTCATTATTTTAAGTGAATCACAGGCCACTATAGGATGTAGGAATCCTAATAAATACCTCAAATCCTCTGCAATATAGCATAATTTACTGAATGACGTTTCCAAGGAGAAGGTGGGGGTTAAAGGGTAAAAATGTCCCCACGGAAAAAGTGGTTAAAAAACCCCCTCTGAATTCTTATTTCAGTGGTAGCCTTCTCCTAAATATTGTTCATTTGCAAAAACAAATCTGAAATCTATTTTTGGAAGCTGTAATTCACTGAGACATAAACACAATCCATTCTAAAAAAAATCTCACCTCAGGTCAGGTGTGTTTGTGTAAAAGAAAGAGATCTCCAACAATGCCAGGTGTGTTTATGTAAAAGAAAGAGATCTCCAACAGTGATGCAAATGCTTTCTTCCTGTTAGGCATTTGTCCTGTTTTTAAAGACTAATATGATTTCAATCTCTTGCATGTTTAATTAACCTTCTGACCTCTGATGCTTAATGACCCTATTTAAATAGTTCACTTTCTGAGAGAGTGGGCTATATCACAGTTCTGAAGATGAAAGGACTGCTCAGCTTGATTCCAAGTAGCCCCAATCTAGATAAATGATGGAGCAGTCCAAAGCTCTGCTTTGCTCCTGTACCTGCAGATAAAGAGTATGTAGTATACAGTCTGAGATATTCACAGATCCTTATGGAGGCATCAAAAAACAGTAGCCCAGGACTATCTCCAGAAGCCTGTTTCCTCCAATATGAAATATGTTCACCAGATCAGGTGGATCAATCAATACTAGAGAGGAATGGGGAGCGATTTTCGTAAGAGCTGTCAACTACTTCAACATTTTTAATCAAATGTCTAGCTGACAGAGAATTGTTAAGCTGGCTAGATCTGAAGAAATTGACATATAGAGATTGGCAATGAATATGCTTTTTGAGTATCTGGAAGGAAAGGACATGGTTTTTTAATAGCTATGATGTGCTGCAAAAAAAAGTTACAGATCATTGTTCTTAGAGGTCACAGTATTAGCTTTTTCTTTTTCTCCATTATACACAAGATCAAATTGTGTAAGGTCTTGACATATATAATGCATTTAGACAATCTTTTGACAGTTAAGAAGGTGCTTCTAATTGCTTGGGAAGAAGAGTTTGAAAAAACAATAATTTGAGCATGAGCATGACTCATGAGCATGACTTAAAAAACAGATAAGTATTATATAACAGAGGCAAGGATCATCTTGCACATTCTTTGTGCTGTTATAAAACTTGGCCATGAATTCTGTGCTGGACTTATTTACATCAACTAGAAAATACTTTAAATACCAATCAGAAGTCCTCCACGGGAAAATATAAGTTACTACGATTAAATCTAAATACCTGATTAAGTCTATGATTTCAGTGGGCCTTACTCCCAAATAAGTGGCTATAGG